CTAGCGGATCCAGGATTTAATTTTAGGGGGGCTTCAGCCTGAAAGCTTTTTTTCATATATTTAAGGATAATTCATTTTTAAAAAAAAGGAAGAAATTAACTACCTATATAACATGGTGTTTAAGTGATTCTTGAAGTCCTATTAAATGTAATTACACGAACAATAATACTTTAAGAGATAGTTTTTAATATTTTTTTCTTTTATACATGGTTTACCATTTTGGTGAGGGGGCTTCAGTCCGAAAGCCCCCCTCCTCCCCATAGATCCGCCTGTGACAGGAACAATAAAGCTTTCATAATTGCTGATCATACAGTATCTTATCCAGAGGGCTCTGAGCTCCTCATATTCTGCATGATTCGGGCTCTAATACACACACACACACACACATATATATATTTTAAGTGTGTGTAAGTTGAATGTTCAAACCGTATGATTCTAGTATTATCCACTTAATAGGTCGTTATATAAGTTACTATGACATTAATGATTTTTAATAAATTGGGTTCCCTCCGAGGCGTCCGAAAAGAAGATGGCCTCGTAATCTACTTATGTAAATATATTATTAGAGTGCTACCAATGGGTAGTTTCTCAACAAGCATTTTCTTGTAATTGTATTACTGTGTGAACATTTACTAGTTGTATTTTTTTTTTATAATACAGTTGTAAATATCAATGAAAAAAAATAATAAATCCATTGGTTTTCAGTATTGAATTATTTCTTTTCACTATTGAAGCCTCTCCATCCGAAATAGAAAGAATCTGGTGGGCGCAACACACAACTTTCACTTACTCCTCTATATGAATATAAATTATTTTCTGGCAATGTTGGGCTATTATAAAATTTTTGGAGTGCATTTTTAACCGAGCTAAAGCTTGAAGTTTACAGTTAACAAATCATTAATACCATTAATGAATAAATAACAAACATCATGTTATATGAACGGTTGATTGTGGATTGTACTACAATTAGTTATTAAACTGTTACTTTTCATCGCAAAGTTTACTAAAATGGAATTACGAGATTTGCATTGCCAGTTATGGATTGGTCAAAAGTTGTCAGTGGACATGACAAAGTGGGATATCACAAAGAGAAAATTCATCTAATTATTCGCTAATTTAATTTTCTATAGTTTACATGATGATTTTTCGGAATAAACGGACGATAGGTACCTAATTATTTAAACATAATATTAGATCTAGAGTTATTAAGGTACATTAAATGTATTTAAGGTTACATATCCATGAAATATTTTTATATTTCACTTCCTCTTTCACACAACTACAATGAAAACGTATTTTAAACAATGTCATTGCCTTGATTAAGTGGATTTTAAATACTTTTTTTCAACTTAAAAAAAATTTTACATTTACATTTCGTAAGAAAATTCAATTTAATTTCCTTGGAAACGTGTGATTAACGTTAAATAATATTAGTTTTCAGAAATTATTATTTATATTTTTTTCGTCACTCTCCGTTACCTATTACAACTTTATTTATTAGATATTATTTTACCTTTTATCATAACTCCTAACAATGTAAGATAGTTAATAATTTACAATAAACCATATTAAAAGGACTTTAGAGGAAGAAATTTTGAACATTGGATATTTAAGCCCTGTTAAGCGTCATCAATAGGGATAAGACCTAAATGATATTAAAGATAACTTCTTAATCGCAAGCTCTAGGAAATTGGGATGGATGGAAATGTGGATGTTCTGTGGGGGAAGATAAAAAATACAATAATGGACTCATGCAGTGAAGGCGGCAGTCGCAAGAAAGAAAACTGCTTGGAATGAGTATATTAGAGATAAGACTCCAGTAAATTGGGAAATCTTTTTATTCAGAAGAAATGAGGCGAAATTAGTTGTTAGATTGAAAAAATGGAAGATTTGGGAGGAGCCTATAGAACATCAACCATGTCAATGTTAAGGTTTTCTGGAAAAAAAAAAAGCAATAAAAACAAAAAAATATAAGCCCACAAGAAATATAAAGGATGAAAGAGGCGGACTAATTACCAGAGGTATAAAAATTCTGGATGGATGAAAACGCCACTATAAGGACGTTTTCTCAAGCAATGTTGCTGATAATAAATTGAATATATGTGAAACTTCTCTACAAGAATTGGACGAGATAACGTGGGAGGAAGAGGTGGAAAGTGCAGTAGAAAAACCAAGGAATGGTAAGGCAGCCGGTAGAGATGATATTGTGCCAGAATTTATTAAATACGGGGAACTGATGACAGCCCTACTGTTCCTATTTCAAAAATTATTGACTAAAAAAGTTATTCCAGAGGATTGGAAATATAATGTAATTGTTCCAGTACATAAGAAAGAAAATACAAGCGAATGCCGAAATTACAGACCTGTTTGTCTCTCACAGGTTGTATACAAGATATATACTGCAATACTTCAATGGTGAAGGAAAATTTAGAAGCATGCTGCTTTCAGGCCTCCCCGTCAAACCCAAGGCCACCTATATTCTTTAATAACAATAATCGATAAGGTTTGTGAAAGGAACAGAAATGTATTCCTCAAATTCTTGGACATAAAGGCTGCATTCGATTCCGTCTCTAGACACTAGCTATGGAAGGCCCTGATGGAAAAAATATTCCACGAGCATTGATTTATGCTACAAGGTCCACGTATCAGGACTCAAAGGGCATAGTTAGAATAAATGGAACAGAGTCTGATATTTTTGCCATCAGTTAAGGTGCAAAGCAAGGGGACAGCTTGAGCCCCCATCATTGTATATATGGACGAAATTTTAAAGATTTGTAAATGACGAACAGTTGTAGGAGAATAGAACATGAGGACGATATTGACGCTATCTGTGTGTAATGGTCTCTGCTGATGACATCGTTCTCATATCAGACTCAAAGGAAAAGCTGTAGCAAGCGTGATCGAATGGTAGGCTGAACTAGAAAGAAAGGGTATGGCAATTAATATCGAAAAGGGCAAAGTAATTCACATTGGACGGGATCAGGAGGTTGTTGAAATTGATTGCAAAGGAGAGGTACTGGAAATGGTGGAGGACTATACATATCTAGGTGCAGTAATAAACAAAAACGGAAGGCTCGACCATGAAATTTCCAACAGGATTAAAAAGGCCAATGATGTGTATTACACTTTTTGTAATACAGTCATTGGGAAAAAGGAGGTAGAGAGGAATGTAAAAATACATATTTTTAAAGCGGTATATCTACCAACCCTTATATATGGGAGTGAAAACTGGATCCCATTAACCAAATCCAGCAGAGTTACTGCTAGTGAAATGAAATATCTACGAAGGGTGGGCGGCCGAACCAACAGAGAGCGGACCAGGAATGAAAAAAGAAGAAAGGATCTAGGAACTGTCTCACTAAACGATTCTATAGAAAAGAGGCAGCTAAGAGGCAGCTGAGATGGTTTGGAAATGTATCCTGAATGAATGAAGACCGTGACCCACGAAAATTCATGGTGTTGAGACCTGTAGAAAAGTGCCCAATAGGAAGACCCAGATTGTCGTGGATGGAGCACATCCCCCAGATCGGGCAGAAAAGAGGTAAGCTGATAAGGGATATGAGGGCTCTAGTTCAGAACAGAAATGTTTTGGATTCATGGATCGAGGCGCCTCCACGCTGAAAGGCACAAACGTGGTAGAGAAAGAATAAGAGAAGATATTAAAGATTGCATAATTCTACATTGATACATTGAGTTTAATCAAAATCGTTACAAACCGTTATCGAGAAAATTGTAAAAATGTGTAAAATCGATAATATAAAATGGCACTTCCGGTTAGCCGGTTTTAACGAGAAAGTTCCTGTCCCATCGGAACCATATAGAAACTTTAAATACGCAATTTAAGTTTCGTACGACTTTTCGACTTAGAGCTAGGCTGTTTACACATACACCCACGCACAGAGACAATTTTGCGGGACTTGGTTATTTTGACTCAGGGGAGCTCAAAACATTTATTCCCGTTGAAAACAGATTCGAAAATTTTTACAATCGCAATACTTTCCTTTTCTATATATTCCACATTTAGGCAAGTAAAAGTAAAAAACTTTATATTTGTTTCTGTGAGTGATGTGAGCTAAATAATTAAACAATCACAACATGGTCTCTTTTTAAATTATTACGAATATATGGCTACTAATTGTAAGGAAGTATGGAAAATGTAAAATATTAATTAATACATTTTTCAACAAGCCCATTTGGGACGTCTAGTAAAAAAATAAAATAAAATAAATAAATCCTGAATCCGCTACTGACTCTTTCTAATTTCCAAATTAGAAATTCCTTTACCAATAAAGTTTATGCGCCATCGACCTTGACGGGAGGGGCACCCTTATAATCAGATGTTTATATATTTATTTATTTAATAAGTTATTTTATTTTATTCTTATTGCTATGTATTCTTTTGTTATTCCTTTATTTATTTATGTTTCTGTCTATACGTTGTAAATTTACTCCCTGAACTCAATTATATCTGCCTTTAATTGAAACATATTGTAATATATCTCAATAAAAAAAAAGTTAAAAAAAAATTAATAGGTTACATATGATTGTGTAAGTTGATAAAACGTTATAAAAGGAAAGGATCGTTAATCGGTTGGGTATTAGCATTGGATTAACCTTTTCTTATTTCCAAGATAACATATGGGATATATACAAGGGCTTTAAACAAGAATTTCACTCATTTAGTTTCCTTTTTCTTCATGTATAAAGTTGATGATTAGGTTTTAGTATTTTAACTACACAGTATAAATTACTGTAAAACGGAGATCAACTTTTTTTAAAAACTATTATTTGTCTTGGGAATAGCTTCTCTTTGAAATTAAGCAAATAGTGCCCATGGAAATTGAAAAATAAAAAATTCTTGGTTTGAACTAATGTTACCCCATAAGTTGTAAAGTTACTCCATTTTACGGCACTTAACAGAAAAAAGATCTTGATTTTAACATATTTGTAAAAAAAAAAAAAGGTTTAACACAATAAAAAGATATGTAACTAAGGAATACCTTGGAATATTTAAGAATACAATGGCATGAAATTTGTGCTCCTTTAATACCGGCGTGAAGTCTTTGTCATCGCATTTTAACTTCACAAAGTCAGCCAGTCCCTTCCACTTTTGTCGCAATAAATCCTTACCTCCTCGTTGGCCGTAAAACATTTTATTCCGCAGCCTGGAATTGAATCTCTCTGGATGAGCTTCTAAAAATAAAATCATAGCAATTAATATAAATTCATGAAATATCCAATACACGTAAAACTCCCAAAAAAAGTTCGCTAAACTCCTAATTTCCACAACTGATAGTCCCTGGTACAGACCCATTTTTATCAAATTATTAATATCCGCCTAAAAACTCATATGATAACCTACAAATATTTTATCTACGAATTTCTCAGAAATGGTAATTCTCAATAAATTAATTTATTTAATTAGGTACTAAAAACTCAAAAATATCCATTTGCTTTCCACTTGAATCGTAAGATAATTTGATCACATAATCAAGGAAAAAAGGTGGTCTACAAAAATATTGGACCGTTCGGCCTGTATAACCTCGTTATTTTAACATGGTGGAGGTCACGCCAAAAGGCCCAATATTATTTTAGGACACCCTTATCTTCGATTTTGTCGATCAAATTATCTTAAGATTCAAGTGGAACTGAAGTGATATTATTATTAACATGAAGTTCAGATAGTTAAAATAATCAATTTGTAAACAAATTGACGGTTTTATCATCTCTTAATACCTATAGGATTATCAAATACCTTTATTTATCATCTTTTTTTTACATCTTTATTTTCGTATAATCCAGAAAGATTTTTTTTTTAAATTTATATACTAGGATTAACAATTTTTTTTGGTCTGAAAATCACAAGTAACCTGAAAGAATCATTACCAATTATGACATTAAAACTCTTGAAGAATCAAGGCTTCCAACGGCTTGGTCAACTAGCTTTCTCCACAGCGTGATGTTCTTGGATCCTCTGATATTGGTGGATCCATGAACTTGAAATTTATTTGAATTGGCTTATGAACCTAGATAAATAAACTTATTCGCCTTTCCAAACGAATTATATGCGGCCACAAAGTGTGATGGCTTAAGGCATGGAGTATTTTGTTTTTGCCTCATTTATTTTTAGAACCTCTCTAATTGCTGATATCTGAGGGAAAATTAAGATATTTTTCAAACCAGTTGAGGTTCTATATAATTTATGCAATCTGCAAAGGACAGAATAATACTAAATCTACTAAATATTGTTACTCTAATCTCTATTCCGAATCTCCTGCTTCACTTTCGAGAAACATACTGAACAATCTTTATTATATTCGTTATCAGTTTAGAAACTATCAGTTATACCATACTGAATACGCTCTGTGCAGTAAAGGCTTTTCATTATAAACCTTCATTTTTTTTTATACTATCATAGGCCTTCTGAAAGTCTGTGAATAGGTGTTAGGTGGAAATATTATACTCTCTGCAACTTGAATATTTCTGATAGAATCTGGTCTAAGTTGAATTTCATCCCATGCTTTATCCTATTACTCCAATGATCTGTCCCTCAAAAGGTAGCAGTTTTTATTATAATGTGTTTGAAGAACACTCGATAGTTCAGTCAGGTATATCTCTCATTTTGTGATCAAAATATCTTATGACAAAAGTAAAAACGGGTATTCATGAGTTATTAGTACCCTTTAAATTATTTAATTTAAGCAGCAAATCCCTATTTCTTATAAATTTCTTAAATAAAAACGTTGTAGATTAAGATAAAATGAAGCCATTCAAGAAGTTTTTGACGAGTGTTGATAAAAAGTGGGTTGTAACGCGAATTATGATCGTTAGGCAAAGTTCTGCCGATTGGTCACTATTTGTCCGTTTCCAGCGAATGGGAGCATATTCTTTGTGGTTGTTATATGGCATCCAAGCTCAACTCCTTTTGAATGGTTTCTTTACACTTTTGCCACTGTTCATCCATGCCATCAGCATAATACAAATTTTAAATCTATCATTTCAGTATAGTAGTTTCTAACTTCTAAATAACGAAAACTGTTTAAATTAAAATCTATTATTATTTACTTGTTAAAGAGTGCTGCAAAATTTTGGCCAATATTAACATTATTTTTAATCAGTTAAACTTTAATAAAGTCAATTGGAATATTTTTGCTTTCATTTTAATACCATAGGACCCTACTCATCCGTATTCATCATACCCAAGACCCGGGTTATCCGAGATTTTTTTTCTCGCTTTCTTTAGGAATTTTTCTTTTATTCACAATAAACTGATACGAAATCACAAGAGAAATTCGTAATTTTAATTAGGCTATTTAGGAAACATTTATAAAAATCTCAAAATGTTTTTTTTTCTACAATTTTAAATACATGCAAATGAATGTAAATTGGATCGTCTTTTCTTTCTTGTTATTTTTCCCTCCTAAGTATATATATATATATATATATATATATATATATATAGATTATTTTTTTTGGGAACCTATTCGTGCAAATATGTTACAACCTGTAGCAGGCCTCCTCTAATTAAGGGGGTATGGTATAACATCCCGCGGGACCAGCCGTTGTGGGAAGTATGGCCGGGATTCGATCCTATGATCATTACTTTACTAGTGTAACGCGCTAACCACTCTTCTACTATATCGGCCACCAATACTTAATACGTTAGTAGATAGCAAATGTATCGTGACAGAAAAAAATAAATTAAATTGGATTGTATCGTGCATCCAGTTCTATTTTCAATACTATGTACATAATAATCATTTCAAATACTATGTACATAATTCAAAACTTACATGAAATTTTTGAAAGTGAGGCGTATATGTATGTTGGAAAACGATCCCTAATAGGGCTTCTTTTAATTTTCTTGTGAAGAAAGGGTCCTCCTTCTGTTCTGTTTAGTTTCTCATAAATATAAATTTAAACTAAGTATTCATTTCATTATTGACTCTTTGAATCCTACGCCTTGACTCCCATGTTTTATACAATGGAAATTCAAAAATATGAGTTCTGTGATGGTTTTGAGTGATACATGCAATGAAAAATGGTTATATTTCCGGTAGTTAATTATTACTCTATTATCTGAGAAGAATGTATTTCCTAGCCCATTACTTCATTAAATGTTACACATATCCTGAATTTTTCATTGTTAAGTTATTACGGGGTTCTACTCTATCATTTAATATGTTTATTTTCGTCTTTCAAGTCATTTAACATCATTACTTCTTTTTAATCACAGTCCTCAAAATTGAAACAATGATGTATCGGCAAAAACACAGGCTCGAGCACCTGAGCCTAATTATTAGTTTATAGTTGATAATAACATATTGCAGGTATTATATTAATACGAGACGGTAGAGCGGGCTGACTCGTGTGCAACATACGCGTTGCTCAGTAATAAACCTCTTATGTTAATGTGCAATTCTGTTATGTATGGCGTTCTATCCTCCTCAAGGAAAAACGGCAGGGTTTTTCAGTCAAATTTGCAAATGCGGCTGAAGTTGGGAGAAATTAAAAAAACTAGCATACCCCTTGCAGTGTGGAACTCCAATGCAATGTGGGCATCGACTCCAAGGCTGAAGTAGTTGTTGACAACGTTGAGTGGTAAATTGTCCTTTCCTTTCTTTTCTTCATTGCAGTCAGCGTTGGGTTCGACCCGTAGCAACCACCTGTCCAGGTATGTGACATCGCTATTGCCGATGTTGTTGAGTATCTTGGATATTGGTTCATCGGTATAGCCCTGAATAAGAATACAAATGTATTTAATAACTACTAAAGTTGTAAACAAATCACAATTTGTTTTTTAGTTTAATTTAACTTGTATTTATCGTATATCCTTTCTGATTATTATATAATTGTTATCTCTCTTCTATTTTATTTAATTTATTTATACTTCTTGTAAATATAGTGTGAATGAGTTCTTTTCTCACAATAACCAATGCCCATAATGTGACAGAATGTTATATCACTCAATTAAATTGTTAAAAAAAAGTTAATAAACCTCAAGGATATTACTTAAATTGTATATAAAAATCCAAGATATCATAAGCTATGAAAATTACACTATATATAAAATTATATGGTGGTTTAAAGAGAGGAAAAAAATAGTTTTCAATATATTTACTATGTTGGTCATTAGCTTTACATCACTCCTATCACTTTATTATATTAGGAATTCATTTTTTTCTAAAATCCTTAGCTTTCCAATGGTACATTGGAAATGTGTTTTTAATCTGCAAAAATATTTCTCCCATTTCCTACTTTAGTTAATTATCGAAAATTCGTCCATAGTTCATATTTATCCATTTTGTATTACTGTTGTTAAAGAGAGACCATTATTATTATTTTTTTAAATTAATTTATTCACTAATATAATATTCTGTCACCTGGTCAATAATTATACGGAGATAAGACTATGTTTAAACCATATATACAGAAGAGATAAAATAAACAGAAGAAAGATAACAATTAAATAATAATGAAAAAGTATATAATTATGTTCAATATTTTTTTTTTTAATTATTTCTAATACAAAAAATTAAATGCACTTAAGAAAAAGAAATTTTGAAAATTCGCCATTTAGGCTCTCTCAGATTTTCATTTTCACTTTCATCATATTAAAGACGATTTAATGACGACTTAAAAAAAAAACTTCAATGCCGTTTTTGAGATAATTAGAAAACTACGTAAAGTCTATGGTATCAAGTTACATTTCCGGATAGTATACTCTGACGAAAAAGTATATTTATCATCAAAGTTGAATACCTTAAGATGAATTTATACATTTTACAAACTATGGGAATAACGATTATCTCTAAAAGCGATATTAGTGCTAAGCCAGACATTTTTTTAAATTTCTCTTATTAGCAACAGCAGATGGAAAAAATAAAAAACACTAGTTTAAGAAAACAGCCATCTAAATATATGTTTTTCCCTTAGTTCGTAAAATGTTTAAAGGCACTTTTTTTTTTTTTGTTATTAAAGAAATTTACAACTGTAATTAATAATAAATACAACAAGTAAATATGAACAAGTAACATGACCCATTGGTAGCAGTCCAATTATATTTCTATATTAGAAGGTCCCGAGGCCATCTTCTTTTCAGACGCCTCGGAGGGTTATCAGGAATAGAAGAAGCAAGGTTGGAAACGAGAGGGTTCGGATGGTTCAGAAGTTTATTATGAAAGGACAGGTATCTGGATTGAGCTAAATCGGAAACATATGGTACATTAAGGTCATTATGGATGATTTTATTTGTGACAAAGTAGGGAGCATTAAGGATTTTACGAAGGATTTTGGATTGTAGGGATTGAATAAGAGAGGAATTTGATGGTTTAGTAGAGCCCCAAAGCTCGATCCCGTAAGTCCAAATAGGCCTTATTATATTAGTTATATATATGAGTCTTTTGTATATATTATATTATATATATGAGTCTTTTGTAAATAATTGGCAGTTTAGAGCGTCTGTCTAGTGAGTGCTGGAGTAGTCGGAAACGTCGGGCGGTTTCTAGTCGTTTCAGTCTGATATGGGGGTTCCAAGTGAGTCGTTTGTCAAGGTGGAGTCCTAGGTATCGGATTTGGTCAACAGGGATAAGTGGGGTATTGTTGTCACATTCTTCACTGTAGGAGACCTGGAGTGAACTCATGTAGTCAACCTATGTATCCATAGTATATTACTCTGTATTTTAGATGCCATTTGTAACAGACATTATGAATAAAACCATTACTTATAAAGTCTTCACTGCCTCCGATTCGTTAACTGTACGACTTCTCCTGTTAGAACTGAACTGTACGTATACATGTATATATATATAGTTATTTTGGGAAGCTTGGTTATTTGAGCTCAGTGAACCTTGAAACATACATTTCTGCTGCGCAATGTCGTGTTCAAAAATTTCTACGATGACAATTTTCAATCACAATATATTTCATATAGTATGAATGAAAGTAAAAGCATGTTAGAAAAATTTAACTAATTTATAGAGTAGATGCAAAATTGTAAATAAGAATACAAACGAATCATCCTGGATAATCTGGTTCTATTCGTTAGTTTATTTGTTTCCTCAATCCCATTCAATGACTGAAATTAGGAAGGCCGTGACATGAAATCCATGATATTTATCCCATGATATATGTTTTTTAATTGAAAAGATATACTTACTCCTCCCCAACCCAATGCCCTGGCTAGGTCGTTACCAGTACCAAGAGGAAGTACTCCAACAGCAGGTGGAGGACAGAATCCCATCTTGTCAATAACAGACAGTACCCAACCTACCGTACCATCTCCGCCGCATGCTAGTACCCTCAGCTGAGGAACCTTCTTGTATAACTCTAATCTGTAAAATATCCATTAAAAAATTTCATTAATACATTTAAATTAGTTCTGTAATAGCGTTGCATAAAAATAAACTGTTAGCCTTGATATGTCTCTAAAATATTGTCTTCTTAGTTTTATGAATTAGATCGACCGAAATTTGGACTGCAATACAATTTATGGATTAAACTTTTTTAAATTTTAAAGAAATGTTTGTATTTAGCTAAAAACTTGAAATAACAGTGCGTCTCGGAGGTGTGGTGTGGACTGGGGATGCTGACTTACACTGTAGCGTGATGTATAGTGCCTAATACGACATCGACCAAGTGCCTCTTACTATAGATGGGAAATTCGATTCTTTTAACTGAATTGATTCTTAACAATTCAATCATTGTGATGAATCAATTCTTATGAACGATTCTTCGATTGATTATTTTCATCTTTTTGTTTTTCTTTAAATTAAAAAAGAACTTTTCATTGAGAAAAAAAAACAGTAACAAGCATTCCCCAATCTTATGATTATTCAGGCAAAAACCTTTTTTTTTTTTTTAACTAATTGAAATTAAAACTCCTGGTTCTAATATATACAAATAGAAAGTCAAGATTCTTATAAATATATTATTTTTTTTTTAATTGTACATTTGGTGTTTGGTCCGTGTATATAAATTGTAAATGAAATGAAATATAGTTATATTCATCTGTCCATCTCTATCTTTTACCTCTACTTTATAGACATCCATTTATAAAAGCTAAAAAAAAAAAAAATTTAAACTAAATACCTTTATTAAGAGAAGACAAGGTGAGAGAAAAAACGAAAAGATACGCCTTGGATGAAAGTTTCGAAGCAGAAAATGGAAATAAAAGCTAATTAATAAAAGGTAATCAACTGAATCAATTCTTTTAACTGAATCGATTCTTAACGATTCCATCGTTGTGGTGAATCAATTCTTATAAATGATTGTTCGATTGATTCTTTTCTGCTTCTTTTTTTCTTTAAATTAAAAAAGAACTTTTTATTGAGAAAAAAAACAGTAACAAGTATTCTCAAACTTTATGATTATTTAGGCAAACTCATATTTTTTTTTTAATTCTTTGATATTAAAAGTCCTGGTTCTAATATATACAAATAAAAAGTCAAGAATCATATAAATATAATAAATATTAATTTTTTTTAATTGTACATATTAGTTCTTGGTCTGTGTATATAAATTGTAAATTAATATAATTTTATTCATCTGTCCATCATCTCTATCTCTTAAATCCTATAAAAGCTAATAAAAAACATTTTAAAATAAATAGTTTTATTAAGAGAAGACAAGGTGAGAGAAATAATGAAAAGATATGGCTTGGATGAAAGTTTCTAAGCAGGAAATCGAAGTAAAAGCTAATTAATAAAAGATAATCAACGTTATGAGCTATACGCTGGCAGAATATGACGTAATAGTCTCCACTCTCCGTCCCCACCACTTTTATTTAACGTTAATTATCATTGGAAATATGAATCAGAAAAAAATGGGTCTTTCTTTTGTCATAACCAAATATTCACCAATCGAATGAAAATTCATGCAAATACTCAACTGTATAAAGGTGTGTTTAGACATTTCACACTAGACATTTTAGTGATTTGTTTCTTGTTTTGATGTTTTCCAATTGCTATAAGTATAAGAGAGATAAAAAAAAAGTTGGGCTGTTATTCAAGTTAGATAATTGTGTTCCCATAGTTTGTGAAATGTCTTAACAGACCTTAATGTAGCGGAGTGGTGGTATGAATATGTGTTAAAATCATAAGAAGAGTTGGTTTATCTGATTATGAACATAACTGTAAAATATCATTTCCCCCCACTGGAGTTGAATTTTGAAAGCAAATAAATTATTTAAAAAGATTAATATAAGTAAAAAGAAATGAAACCTTAAAATTTAATTCTCCAAATATTTATGTACTAAGAGCGATGTAGAATCAACTCCGGATTATCCTTGAAATTTAGTGGAATGATTGCAGCAAATAACGTAAACAAATACAGTTGGTGATGAAATATGAATACGAGATGTGATATACAGTTAAAAATTTGAATATAATGCAGATCCAAGCTATAAAATGGTTATCAACAATATTTTTTTAAATAAATTTTTGCCAAAAAAAATCAATTAAAAAGTCAAAATATACACATAATTTTAGCAAATGAATATTAATGTTATTTTTTTTCTTAATTAAAAAAAAAATTAGAATATGCACATAGTAACAAAGTTTTTTCACTTTTTTTAGTAAAAGATAACCACCAATAAAAAAGTTGAAAGACAAAATGAAAACAACTCTAAAAGAGAAGGCAAATAATTTGAAAAAATTAGATAGACGTTAATAATGGGTCCAAAACTTTGTTAACTAACTGTTCATAAAATAACTGTAAAATATAATTTCCCCTCACAAAACTTCAATTTTCATAGCAAAAGACCATTAAAAAAGGTAATAAAAGTAAAAAGAAAAACATACGTTACAATTTTAGTCTCTCAAATATTCATAAGTTATGAGCGATGTAGAGTCAACTCCCGATTATCCTTGAAATTTAGTGGAATGATTGCAGCAAATAACGTAAACAAATACAGTTGGTGATGAAATATGAATACGAGATGTGGTATATAGTTAAAAACTTGAATATAATGCAGATCCAAGCTATAAAATGGTTATCAACATATGTATATGAAATAACGTAAATATAAATTAAAAAAGCGTTGTTTTTTTAACTACAATATTTTTTTAAATAAATAAATAAATTTTTGCCAAAAAAAATCAATTAAAAAGTCAAAATATACACATAATTTTAGCAAATGAATATTAATGTTATTTTTTTTCTTAATTAAAAAAAAAATTAGAATATGCACATAGTAACAAAGTTTTTTCACTTTTTTTAGAAAAAGATAACCACCAATAAAAAAGTTGAAAGACAAAATGAAAACAACTCTAAAAGAGAAGGCAAATAATTTGACAAAAATTAGATAAACATTAATAAGATGTGTAAAGATATTTTTGAAAATGGCTAAGATGCCTAAACGTTACAATGTTATAACATTTAAATAAATTGATTTTAATATTGGTAATAAAACGTTTATTTGTTTATGTATCTTGGGATGAAAAATGGGTCCAAAACTTAGTTAATTAACTGTTCATAAAATAACTGTAAAATATCATTTCCCCTCACAAAACTTCAATTTTCATAGCAAAAGACCATTAAAAAAGGTAATAAAATTAAAAAGAAAAAAATACGTTACAATTTTAGTCTCTTAAATATTCATAAGTTAAGAGCGATGTGGAGTCAACTCCCGATTATCCTTGAAATTTAGTGACGCGATTTCTGAGAATAACCGAAATTCATAGAAACGGAGAAAACGAATAATTAATAAAACAGTTTATAAATCAGTAAAGTGTCGTTTCTGCAAGTACTCGTTCAAACATTTTTTTTCATTTTTACTACAGCAAATAAACTCAATACGGATAATCTGGAGTTGATTTTACTCCCTGGACTGCAATTATGTGATCTTATGTTTTTTAGTACTTTTTTTTTTCTAATCGAACAGTCTGTATAGGGCTAAGTGATTTTTCTTTAAAATCTCGGCAAATGCTTGAGTCCACACTTAAAATAAAGTTTTAGTTCAAGATATAACAATTAAAATAAGGAATTATACATATCCTTGACAATTACGACTGGTACATAAACGTTAACAACCTGTTAAGTAATTGTTAAGGCACGTTTACACAACGAGAAAACAAATCTATATATCTCACTGTTTTAATAAATTTCTTCTGAATTCTTAAAAAAAATAAAAATATATATAAATATAATAAAAAGTAGTTTATTTGGAGCTGTATAAGATTTTTGTCCTTTAATGCTAGAGACGTTATATTGCTGTACGAAACTCACCCCATGTTTGGTCCACCTTGTGTCAGGTCGAAAACCTGCCTTGGGTTCAAGTGCCATTGAAATTTCTGAAGCAATTTTACTCCTTGGTTTCCTCCTGATTTTGGATTTATAAATACGATAAGCGGCTTAATAGTTGGTGTGGGTTTGGCTTTTATTGTGAAAGGTTTGATTCCTTCTAGAACCTACAAAATTAAAAGAAAAAAGAAAATTAAAGAACTTACGTGAGACAATTATTTTTTTTATTTGCTATTTGTCGTTAAAACAAGATAGTGATATACTAATAATTCAATAAATACATTTTTACATAAAAATTAATTATAAAATTTTATTTTTTTTATTTGCTATTTGTCGTTAAAACAAGATAGTGATATACTAATAATTCAATAAATACGTTTTTACATAAAAATTAATTATAAATTATTTATTTATTTATTAAGTGACATAATATTTCATCACATGGACAATAATTATAGTGAGGTAAGACTACATTCACACTATACGTTCAATATAAAATATATAATAAATAGAAAATATACAATAAACTGAAACAAAACAACATCTAAATAATAATATAATATAAAGTATATACAATAAATAAAAATAAAATAACTTAAAAATAATTAAATTTAACAACAGTCCGCTGGTGTTTCTCAAGGTAGTATCCTAGGTCCTATCCTCTATACAGTTTATACAGCTGACATCCCTATCTGTCCCAACACTGTCATCACCACATATGCCGATGACACATGTATCCTATCAGTAAACAATGACCCAGCAATTGCATCCCAAATGCTTCAATCACACATCATAAATCTAGAAGAATGGTGTCAAAACTGGAGAATTAAAATAAACTCCAATAAATCCCACCAAATTACCTTTACCCTTCGTCGTAAACCAACGATTTCCTGTCCTACAGTTTCCTTTAACAATACTCCACTTATCCCTGTTGAGCAAATCCGATTCCTAGGACTCCACCTGGACAAACGACTAACTTGGAATCCTCATACTAGACTGAAACGACAAGAAACCGCTCAACGTTTCCGATTACTTCAGCACTTACTAGACAAACGCTCTAAACTTCCCATTAATTACAAAAGACTCATATACTTGACTATAATAAGACCTATTTGGACTTACGGAGTTGAGCTATGGGGCTCCACTAAACCATCGAATTCCTCTCGCATCCAATCCTTACAATCCAAAATCCTTCGTAAAATCCTCAATGCTCCTTACTTTGTCACTAATAAAATTATCCATAAAGATCTTAATGTTCCTATGTTTCAGATCTAGCCCAATCCAGATACCTATCCTTCCATAATAAACTTCAGAATCATCCCAACCCTCTCGTTTTTAACCTTGCTTCCTCTTCAATTCCTGATAACCCTCCGAGGCGTCTGAAAAGAAGATGGCCTCGTGATCTCCTAATGTAGTCATATCATTAGAGTTCTACCATTGGGTGGTTACTCAGCAAGTGTATTCATGTCATTATATCTATTATGTCCAAATTTACTTGATGTATTTATGTAATACAGTTGTAAATGTCATAAGAAATAAAAATAAATAAAATAAAAAAAATTTAACAAAAAAACACTGACATGCCTTTATTCGCTATTTACAACCAGGCGAGGGAGCACTAGGCTTGTCCCTCCAACTATAGAAGGAAAAGCAGGACTCCAGGAGATCCCTCCCCCCTAGTTTCCTCCCTTGTTTTCTCCCAATTCGACTATGGCTGTATGGTGTATGGTGCACTCTCGCGAGATTCCGAGTCCAAACTTAAACGCCTGACGAATTGCGCACTACGATTTGTTTTCGGAATCTCAAGGGATACTCATATTACCCAGTATTACACTAAGTTGAGGTGGCTCTACCCATCCTATCGCCGTCAGTACTTCCTAGCCACCTTTCTGTACCAAATCATTAGAACTCATCGACCCTCCTATATTTTTCACAGCTTACAATTTTAATGCTTCATCCAATCCCGTCCCACTAGATCTTGTACTTCCTACCTCTATCCTCCTCCTCACTGAACTGCTGCGTTTGACAAATCCTTTGCAATACAAGCCGCCTTCCTCTGGAATTCCATCCCTGCTGATATTCGACACGCTCAACCAGTTTCTTCTTTCAAACCTCTCCTCTTTAAGCAACTACTCCTTTCTCAATCCGACTGATTGTGAAATATAAGAGAAATATCTAAGCACCGCCAGAGACTACCTCAATTTATTTAGGTTATTTTAGTTTCTCATATATGTGTACAATTTTCTTGTTCTTTTCTTTCTCTTTTCAGTATTTTTATCTTTAATCAACTCTTATTGTAAATATACAAACTAATTGTAACCCAACATACACATACATACAATCTGTATTTATATTTTGTTCTAAAGGGACAACAGTCCCAGAATAAAAAAAATATTTTTTCATTTAATTTAATTTCATAACTCTCTTAAAGCCAGTGGAGATTGAGCGATAACGCTAAATTATGAATACATTTTCTTTATGATTAACAGTATTACAATCGTTTTTTTTTTTTTTTTTGTTGCCTGTTGAGAGCTTCTAATGAAATTCGTTACTCCAGTAAATCTCCTCCCATTCATATTTTAGGATACTGTTTAATTTATAAAATTTAGCTGTGGGATTTCAATGTAAACATTTAAATAACGAATCACGGATCCAATTAAAAATTGAGTTGTATCCAATATCTAAGGATGCTTCTTTCAAATGAAATTTTACTATTCATTATCATGACATGTATTTATCAATACCTATCTATTTACCCTTCACCTCGGCTCATATGGCTATTTCTCTAAACATATATTCGTAAACATAGTTACAACATTTCTGTTTGTGTGCGTCAATTGAAGTTATGTGATTACCCAATTTATTTTTTTTAACCGTTCAATTCAATTTAATTTGATTATTTCGAGGAACACCTTTAATAACCCTTTGTACGTGCTTCCACAAGTTTCCTGTATTCAACTAGTTGTCTAATACAAGAATGGGAAAGAATTAAATAAAGTTTTTTTGAAGTACAAATGGTTGTTAAAGGTGTTCCTTGAAATAATAAAATTAGATTGAATAATACACACCTTTCAAAATTTAATATTAATATTTTTATGTGAAACTGTGCATGAAATAAAGAGGAATGTAACCATATAATTGAATATAGGAAAATTTTTGAAGCGTTATCACCACACATAAAAAAGTCAGAAGTTATACAATATGTCAGAGAATTATCCGAATCAGTGTTAAAAAAGTATGTTATTTTTGAAAAAAACGTTCTCGAACACAAAATTAAGGTGTTCCTCGAAATAATAAAACTAGATTGAATAATATATACCCTTGAAAATTTAACAAAAATTTAAAATTCTATTATACCAAAGCAAGGTAGATTACATACTAGCTGACCTTTGTACTGGAAAGATAAACTAACCAAGAATGGACCATTTTATTGATGTTATCCATTGATTGAACTGTACAACTGTATTAAAAATACAATAGGTAAATGTGATCTCTGATTGATAAAACGTAATAATATCATCCGAATCAATTCATCGGTGGCACTTCAATCATATTTAAGTATGTTACAAAAAGGGATGGACTACAGGTCGGAACGGAACTGTATGTTCCACCACTGGAATTCGTTTCAGTTCTCGTTTCTTTTCATCTTCGTTCCTAACACTTGAATCGAGATTGAGATTGAGCAAGCAAATATGCGTAACACTAAAACTATTTAAAACTACAAAAAAAAAAATCATCGAGGCAGAGGATAAAGAGATAGCCCGAGAGAAATATTCTCCTAAAAGGACACCTGAACCAAAGGTAATGATTGAATTAAACAGGTACTAAGAAAAGGATATTTTAGACAACGAGGATCCTTTTAAGTGGTGATTTGGTCTGCAGGACAACTACCCTGATTTGTACATCATTGCCAAAGAAATGATGAATACATTCGCCACTTTTATTCCATGCCAATGATTTTTTTTTCAATACCAGACATACTGATTAACGAAGGTCAGACTCGCCTATCAGCTGATAAAGTAAAAAAAAAAAAAACTGTTTATTTTAAATTCCAATTTTTAAATTAATTCACATTATGATTTTGCCGTTTTGGTTTTTTAATTCATTCTAAACTTTATGCTATAAATTCGTTTGTTATCATCTTTATTTGTTTGAATATAATTCTGCAATTAAACTATTTTTTTGGTTGGCGAAATTCATACATTTGTCGAATTAATTTTCCTTAAATATTCCCTTACCCCAAATTACAGAAAAATATTAATGAGTAAAAATACAATTCTGTTTTATATTTTACTTTTTTAATATACACACAAAAGTGATACTGAAAAAAAAAATGGAAAAATTTAAAGAATATAAAGGAGGAGACGGCTGATTTATTCCTAGGAGAAAATCGGCACCAAAGGAATAGTGAATGATTTGATGTTGATTGTTCCCAAGCCATTAAACAAAGGAACGCGGACAGGCATATAATGTTACAAAGGGCAAAAGAGGGAATAGAGAAAAGTATCGCAATAGCCACAAATTTCTGTAGAAATAAAAAGAGAGCGTGATATAGAAGGAAGATAGAGCTAACGGAAGAGCTAAATGAAAGAAATGAAAGCAGAAGATTATCACTCCGCCAAAAAGCTGAGAACTGGATTCCAACCTAAAGTAATCAACAGTAAGAAGGGTCTTCTCCTTGGAGAAGAGAATCAGATCTTGAAGAGATGGATGGAACATTTTGAGGATGTACTCGGAATTGCCCATAAAGGCGCTGAGACGGTAGTCAGTACAGTTAATGATTTGGACACCAGGGTTATCCCGGATGCAGAACCTTCTTCATACCAAAATTTTATGGATGTCGTGGACCATTTAAAGTCTAACAGGGCTCCTGGAGAGGAAATTTTTCAGCGGAGCTATTTAAATATGGAGGCGAGTACCTATGTCAAAGAATTTACAATATTATATTTGAAACATGTAATGATGAATCTATCCCTGAGGAACGGTCTTCAGGATTGATTCTGCCGCTCTTTAAGAAAAGAGACAAGACGATATGTCAAAGCTATAGAGGCATAATCCTGCATAATATTATTTACGAAATTCTGGCTAATGTTTTAACTACAAGGCTAAAAATTTACTCGGCACAGATTCCGATGTGGTTTCATGCCAAACAGGGGTAGTACTCATCAAATATTTGTCTTGCGTCAAATGCTCGAAAATTGTATGAGCTTAATACGGATATACACATGCTATTTATTGATTTTAAGCAAGCTTTTGATCGTGTGGATAGAATTCAATTGTTTAACGCCCTAAAATAATTTAAAGTTCCGTTTAAATTAATAAATTAAATAAAAATTACAATGTCCAGGACACATGCAACTGTAATCATTGGCAATAGAGTTAGTAGGAAAATACATTTTGTCAATGATGTAAGGCAGGGAGACTCCCTCTCTGCTATTTTGTTCAATCTTGTGCTACATAAAGCACTACAAAATATCGGGACTGTTGGAAGTATAGCATCTCGCTTATGTCAAATACTTGGGTACGCAGATGACATTGTAGTTCGTAAATATTCGTAAATATCGTAAATATTGTGCAAGAAAGTAAAATCGTGGCTCATGGGATAAACCAATATAAAACCTAATACATTGTAGCATCATGCTCTGAGGGAAGAAGAAGAAAGCAGGATTTTAGATAAGATGGCTGTTGATCATCCTGTATGGCTGTTAGACATTCGAAGCTGTTGATCGCTTCACGTACCTTGGCACTAAAATAAACAGTATGGTTAGGGCGAGTGACGAGATTATGAGAAGAATAATGTGTGGCAACAAAGTTTATTATGGTCTCTCTAGGTTGATTAAATCTGCCCTACTAACAAAACGCACAAAGCTCAAATTATATAAAACCCTTATCAGGCCCGTTGTGTGCTATGGTTTGGAGACGTCGATGCTTTAAGTAGCAGACCAGCAAGCCATTAGAATAATAGAAAGAAAAATCATGAGACGTATTTTCGGTCCAATAAATAAACAAGGCTCATGGCGCATTAGGTGTAACCAAGAATTAGATGACCTGATACAGCTTGAAGATATTGTAAGGTTCATTAAAGCTAGAAGAATTAGTTGCCTGGGCCATACTGAGGGAATTCCAGATGAAAGAATGCCCAAAAAAGTTCTGCGTGAAACGTTCCCAGGAAAAAGAAAGAGGGGATGCCTACGTAAATTAAGGACGTAGAAGAGGGCCTTAATAAAATTGGAGTGACCAACTGGAAGAAACGGGTCATGGACAGGGATGGATGTTGTTGAAGAGGCCAAAGTTCACCTTTGACTGTAGAACCGGGGAAGAAGAAGGACAAGAATATACAATTTAATTAATTTAATGCTTACAAATTTAAACTAAAAATAACAACCGTAGATACATTAATCCGTATCATAATTATTATAAACGAGCGCTAATATGAAATTTCATATTGGAACGAAAACGGAATGTAATGGAATCTAAAACCGTTCATATTCCGAAGGAACGAAAGTCTGAAAGCACCTCGGAACAAGAAACTCCATCTGGGCACCCCTGCTTATTATATTTTAATTTAATTGGATTTATCTATATTTAATTGAACACTAAATTAAATTTAGCCGTTATGGTTCATCTTTGTTGCAAACAACCAATTCTACTATTTCGCTGATCCACTTCGGCGGCAATCTGTTATAGCGCACGCACCTTAACTACTATAAAGCCCTTCTGGATCTATTTGACTTTTCTACCGAACATTTACCCATCGAAATCTAAATAAATTCCATATCACAAAAGATAACGTTCCAGCGTAACGAAGTTTCCTAGAGCCTCGTTCCGTTTCAAACCGTTCCGATGCTGGAGTTCGTTCCGCGAACCGTTCCGTCCGGACCTAGAGATGGACCTCTCTAATTACAAAGGTCCTGTGGCCACCTTCTTTTCAGATATCTTGTGACTGTTATAGTGTATTGATTAGGATGGAATGTTACAAACTCTGGGTTTGTCATGTATTGAAGCGATATCTATTATAATATAATTACGTAGCATTTGGAATATTGAGTAACTGTGTTTTTGTGAATACCTTTATTTGTAATCATCTTGGCATGATAATCATCAAAAAGGATTCTTTGAAGATTTTGGATTGTAAGGATAGGGTACAGGAACTGAATTTTATGGCATCGTAGAGCCTGATAATCATGAGCGCTTGCACATAAGAGTGTCTGGCATTTAGTTATATTTACTTATAAATTATACGTTTGAAGTATTTGTCAACTAAAATTTGGAGTATAAGAATTACAAGCATTTTTTGTAGGAGTTTAATAATATAAGTAATTTTATCCAGATTTCAAGACGTTCTCATTGCTTAGGAATTGATGCATTCCTCCAATACTTCCTTCTACTTTTTCTGTTTGATTTATTTGAGGGAGGAGAGAAAATTGGATATGAAAATTTAAATTGAAAAAATAATATTCTTTTCATGTACTAAGTCAAGTTTGAGTCCTGATATTTGTTTAATATAATAATTAAGACGTCTTAATAAATACATCAGGCTTCTACAGAGACCTTTAAAAGGTTATCTCAACTGAATTTTTTTGTTTGTAAATATGGCGATACAGAGGAGGGAACGGTCAGTACATAAGGTGTCAACAAGACAAATGTACGTCGCTTATCCCTCTCGCACGGCTTTATACATAATTTTGTAGTAAGTGATAATTTATTTATCTTTATTTATTCATTTTTTATTGGATGATTTTGTATATAGTTTTAACAAAATTATATTTAGTGCATAGTTGCATAAAACCATCTTAAGAATACCTAAGCATACCTTTCCTGAAAACGAAAAATAAATGAGTTTCAATTGAGTCACCGCTGGTGTATTTACAAAAAAAAAAATTAGATATAAAATTTAAAGAAAAGATAGTTAAAATATACCTGCCAACAAGGAAATAACTAATGATTTCTTGGCAATAAACGATATTTCAGAGATTTATCTATGTAAATTTAAATTTAGAAAAATGCACCCATGCAAGCAAAATTGATAATTAATGCTATAAATAATGTGATAAGCAAGAGATATTCTAATAATAGAAATTTTAATCCTTATCGTATTTAAGGATAGATCAAAGTTGTGCGATTTACTTTTGTCTTCCTCTTTTTTTATCAAAGAATTTTCAAATTAAATTTTCCTTTGCTGTAAAATTAAAAAAATTTTGTTACAGTCGAATATTTTCTACCAGTTTTTGTGATAATCGGAATTTTTACTCGCTTATAAAAGTCAAGAATGTCTGTAATTTATACTACAACTTTCTTAGGGTATAAAGGAAAGAAAATGTTCCTAGTTTACTCTTTGTTAGAATATTTGAGTATTTTATTAATTTATATAGTTTGTTATTTATTATATGTATAAAGTCTGTTAGTCAATTGAGGAGTTTACACCGCATTCTAAAAATCATTAAATCCATGAAAATCATAACTGTTAAAATTTAAAAAAAATATTTTATTCATGTATTCTTTGAGATAAACCAGTGTTTATTTTCCCAAACCAAATATTTATTTTTGATAGAAATAAAACTAGAAAAAATAATAAAGAATGTATCAATTAATACATTCCATATATAAAACTTACAAAAAAAGTCCAAATTCTATATGTTTTAATAAATCCGACAATAAACAAATTGTTCCATTACAACTCGTGATTGCCACCCACATATTTCGTCACAAATAAAACCATTCATGCAGATATTAATGTTTCGTATATCCCTGATTTAGCCCGAGCCAGATATCTATCCTTTCATGATCAATTCCTGTCTAATCCGAATCCACTTGTTTTTAGCCTTCCTAGATTCCTGATAATCCTAGGCGTCTGAAAAGAAGATGGCGTCGTGATGTTCTTACATAGAATTATTTAGGCACTGCTACCACTGGGTTGTATCTCAACAAGTCTGTTCACAGGCGGATTTAAGGGGGGGGGGATTTCGGGCTGAAGCCCCCTCCCCAAAATGATAAAATATAATCATGTTTTATAGAAAAAAATATTAAAGACTATTTGTTAAATTATTATTGTACGTATGATTACATTTAATAGGTCTTCAAGAATAACTAAGATACCATGTCATATGGGTAGTTAGTTTCTTTCTTTTTATTTTTTAAATTAATTATCGTTATATATATTTAAAAAAAATCCTTCGGGCTGAAGCCCCCCCCCCAAAAAAATTAAATCCTGGATCCGCTAGTGAGTCTGTTCATGTCATTATTTCTAATTTGTGCATATTTACTGGTATTAGTGCACATTTAATTTACAGTTCTAAATTTCCATAAATAAATAAATTCAATTGCTAACTCTTTTTTTAGAACATGTTCCAGAGATGACCTTTGCAAAGACTATACATTCCAATAGTAGATAAACAAAATGACATAATGTAATTTTTATATTTATATAACGCCAATGGTTCGTATTTTATTTTTAATTAAACAATACGATATATCATAAAAATCTATACCTTTTCTTCCGACGGTTTCGTCTTCGATTTCAGACTTGACCGAAAATCTCTTTTAGGGAGCTTTATAATCCAAGACGGTGGGACGACAATGCTTGCGTGATTTCCTGTAAAATAAAATTAACATTTAAAAAATTAAAACTTGTATTTAAGATCATCTATTCGAATTTATTATATGAATACAAAGCGTACGCACCAAAATACTCCTTACTTTCTATTTAAATAAATATTTTGCCTCAAATATCCATTTGTAAATTTAAACAGGAACTTCACTAGCTGTAATAAATTCATTGACTATTATTAAGATACCTACCACCTAATGACCTTCGGGAGATGAGGGCGTTATGGGTTTTCCAGGAGTAGTTTTCGTCAATGGTGATTCCTAGGTTTTTGACGGAGAAGCTAAATTTGATGAGGTGGTCGTTGATGACAAAAAGGAGGAAAAGAGGAGTTGGATTTAAGGAGAGAACTGGAACCTATAACAATGGCCTGAGTTTTTATCGCGTGCCTGAATATTAGCTAACGCGACTAATTGCTCAGAAGGGTGAAAAGATATTTAATATATTAGGGAATCATCAGCGTATAAATGGTGTAAACAGTGGTAGATATGGTAGTATATATATATATACACTGCCAAATTAATGGATCTCTTCAATATTTAAATTTTATAATTTTATTGAACATTTTTAAAAGCAATCGTTTTTAGTACGAAAGAACAGTTAATTAAAATAGCAAATAAATAAAGAAAAACAATGCATGTTTTTGGAATTTTTCTTAAAAAGAAAAATACAGATTACTGAATAAAATCAACGTTTCCCCCTCTAGTCCTGATTACTGCCAGCATTCTCCTCTTCATTCCACCGAACAACTTCCTTTCATTTTCTTCTGGGATGCTGTTCTACTCTTCCACTAAAATTCTTCTTAAATCAGGATAATTTAGAGGGTCAAGATTGCGGACACGTCTCCCAACCATGTTCAATACTTGCTCTATTGGGCTCATGTCCGGACCTTTGGGTGCCTAAGCCTTGTTCCTCACACAAATCTGGAAACTTTTACAAAAGTTATGAATAGCTTTGTCGAGACCCTCGAAATAATAATGCGGCCTGATTGAGGTGATCATCTGTGCTGGACCTATGTGACCATAATATTCATGAATAAGCCGAATGATTTAGTTTCCTAATCTTGGAGAAACAAATATTCTCAGTTTGTCTTTCAACATTTTTATTATCATCCCTTCCTTATAGTCAGTCCGTTTTGCCATTTTTAAAAATAGGATATGTTCATCTTGGTCTTTTAAAATCTGAGGTAATTCGATTAAGTTCACAATCTTGATGGAATGGATTTCTTGAGAGTAAGTCGGCTAGGATATTTTCTTTGCCTTTTTTATAAATGATAGTGAAATTGAATTACGACAAATAAAGAATTAGGTCCCCAAGGATTTCACCTGATCTGGCCTTAGTCCTTAAGTTTTCCAACGACTTATGATCAGTGCACACCGTAAAGTGGCGTCCTATTAAATAATACTGCCAAAACTTGATTGCGTCTTTAATTGCTTTGCATTCTAAATGAATAATATCAAATCATTTGTCCCTTTCTGAAAGTTTTCTAGAATAATACGCAACAGGATGTTGTACTCAATCTTCTTGTGGCTGTTTCATTGTTGCACCTTTAAAACTTTCGTCTGTCCCAATGAAGACGGGTTTATTATAATCGTAAATTGACAACAGTATAGGCGCGGTACATAAGTAATCTTTGATCATATTGAAAGCTTTTTTGCAATCTTCAGACCATTTAAAGTTTACATCTTTTCTTAATATACGGTGTAATGGTTCCAATTTCTGAGAGCTATTTTCAATATATCTCAAATAAATGTTAATTGAACCCAAAACACTTAAAACCCAGTCTTATCCGTTCGTATTTGTAGGTTTTGAATTGAGACTAAATTTCCTTGGGCTGGTGAAACCCTGTTCTTTGAAATTGTGTTTCCTAGATACTTCACAGACTTAGCAGCAAATAAACACTTAACTAGTTTTAATTTGAATCCTTCAGCGTTGGTTACCTATAAAAATATGTCGATATGTTGAAGATAATCTTCCCAGATTCAACAGAATATTAAAATATCATCGATATAATTTATGCATAATTCGTCCGAACCATTTCTTTTTATAATGTTAGACGAAATTCTCTGGAACGTAGCAGGAGCATTTTTCAAACAAACTGGAAGTACTTTGAACATTGACTTTCCATATTTTGTTATAAATGAAGTTTTTTTTTCTCAGTATTCTTCTTTTAACGAAATACACTAAAACGCAGAGTTGATATCTAAAACTGTGAAGTATTCACAATTAACAACCTTGTCGATTACGTCTTGTATTGTGGGAAATGGAAAACATTCTGGAACTACCAATTCATTTAATTTGCGGAAATCGATACATTAGTGTGATTTCCTGTTTTTATCTTTCCTGAACGCAAGGATTACAGGAAAAGCGAACGAAGGATCAGATTCTTCAATGATCTTTGCTTGTAATAAAGCCTTAATCTGACTGCTTATTTCTTCTTTCTTGAAAAAGAGTCATCTAGTTTTCGAAGTTCAGTTATGGTTTCTCTATCAAGTTTTTCTTGAGCTTCTTCCAGCAATCCAAAAACTAATTTTTCTTAAAAACAGAGCAAGCAAAGGTAGAATTAGAAAAATCGTAGATCATATACAATTACACTTGCTTCGGTCTGTTACATGTTTTTCCCTTCTCCCTTGGTCCGAAAATTCATAACCTCCTCGGAATTTGCCTTACTCAAAACTTCAAAAACCCGTCAAACTATGCCCCCTCAAACATTTTGATGGCGTCATGAAACCCCTTCTAGGCACACCTGACCATTTATGCCTATTTTCTTGAGATTTATTTCAAACCAATCTATTGCTGGACCGGAGACAAAAAAAACACAAACCTTGGATTTTACGACTGTCGAAATTTATCTGAAAGCAACTACACTCTTATTAAAATCTACTTAACCATTCTTCAGGATCTGATTGTTAATTGTTTTCTTTTATTGGAGTTCTGGTAATGGCCAGATTCTCCACTCACGACATGAGTGTATGTGGCTAAAGCACTCTTGCTCAATCTCCACTTGGTTTAGCCCTAGTGATGCGGTTGAGAGAGGAGTGCAGTGAACTCCTGGAGTCATACTTTTCCCTCCACAGTTGGAGGGACAAGTCTGGTTTGGAGTTCTCTCGCCAAATTGTAAATATTGTATATAGGTGTGTATGTGTTCTTTTTAGGTTATTTTACTCTTCTTTATTGTATATATATTATTTTTCTGTATAATTTATTTTATTTATTGTACATAGAGTGTGAATGTGATCTGTGAACTCTATTATAAATGTCCTAGAGACAGGTTGTAATATTTTTCAATAAATAAGTTTAAAAAAAAATTATTTTCTTCAAATTTTTCTAAAACAATTTTTTTTTCGATTTGGTGTAGTTTGATTTCATCTTGTTTTAGATATAATTGGCTTTCCAATGGTTTAATCCTACCTTCCAATTCTGTTTGTTCAGTTTCAGTAAATCTGGAAATCGATTATGGAATACATTCCTCTAACGACAACTCTCGAAAGCAAACATCGTCAGCTTCATCAAAATAATCTTTTTTAATATTTTGATCGATTTTTACAGCAAATGTTCTATAACCATCTTGGTTCTTAATAGCAGACATACAATAATTATCATTAACAAGATTAATAATAAAGATCATTAACATCGCATTTTTTATTTTATTTTTATTTAACAGAATATTGTGGATACTTGAATCTTTAAATTCATTTGGTTCCAAATACCAAGTATTCTTATCAATGGAAATGCATTGGATAACGAAACCATTCTCGGCTTTCTTAACAACTTGAACATAAAGTACATCGATGCCATTACCAGTTGAAAATTTGTAATAATGTTTTAACGAGATTATATTCTTAGTATAAAGAATTAAATTACACGTTATTTTCACTAGTACAAATTAATAATCAGTATTTTATATATGATTTATTCATATGTCATTAGATAAAACAAATGATAATACACTGAAGGTTACAACAGTGTTGTAGTAAACTGTAGCAAACTTACATATATATATATATATATATATATATATATATATATATAAAGTGATATCACTATATTTATGAAACAATCAGTCTGTATCTACAGTTTTAAAAGGGGATTAGAAAGTGTAATTATAATGTTGATAATCTCTGCTAATCTGTTTACCTCTTTTTAATCCACTTAGTCACTATAGTGTCCTGATTGACGTAATCCTAGTCAATTTGGCTAAAATGCTATACTAAATTAAAGTACTATTTAATTATCTTAAATATACGAATTTCGAGGTGGCATGTCACGTTTTTGCTTAAATTATTTTCGATCATAGCTTTCTTCAGGAAGGTTTTTTGCTAAATAGTAATAGAATATTTTCATCTCAGAATTAAATTTTGTATGAGATGACATAGACAATTTTCAAAATTTTTATTTGTTTGAAAAATTTCCTTTTTTTGCCCCAATAATACTTAAATCCTCTTTAAAAATTCTTATTTCAAAGTTTTGACCACTGTGCGTCGGTGGGCCAACGATTTCAACCAAATTTTGTTTTAGTGATTCCACATAAAAAAATATTAGACTCATTTCCAGAAGTTCCTCCCAAATGGCCTCCCTTAGGAGCCGAAAAAAAAAATATATATTTCCAAAAAATTGAATAGTATTTTTTTTTACCTTTGCTTTCTTTATACATCAATCGTTTTCTCTTTTTTTTTTTTTTTTTTTTTGAAAAATATTCCGATAGTTCTAAATTTATAATATATATCATAAATTACTAAAACCAAAAGATGCTTCCAATGAAGTAAGCCAAGTAAATTTTTGTTATGAGGAAGCAACTTATATTCGTTTTTAGCGTCCAAGATCAAGATTTTTAAGGGAGGCTCTTTTTACAGTGTTATGAATTTTTGAGAAGAACTATATTTTCGTGAAGTTTAATTTTTGAAGAAATCTCACCAAGAAAAAATGGAATAGACCCTATCGAATGTGATTGTAAATAAGCTAAAATTTTTATAATACTACTTTCACTAGCACCTTTAAAAAAAAAAGGAGAGCAACAATTCATGGGGGAAGGGGAGGGCTTATGCACTTTCGCTTGTGGGACCATCCCCCTGTTCTATCTTATATAAAAAAAAAACATAAAAAAATCATTTATAGGATCATTTTAGAAACTAATAAATCATGGTATAAATATCACAAATTTTCATCCAATAATATTAAATCAATATTTATATTATATAAAAAACGTTTAATCCCTTTACCTAAATTACAAGGGCCTTTTGTCACTTCTGAGTTTAAGCAACTGTCACGGTTGTGGAAAGACATCTTGCACCATGAGCATGTCGTAACTTGTAGATCTTTGGAACTGAAAAGCTTCTTTGGCTGCAATGACTGAAAAACATAAACAAACAAAACAATAAGAATGTCCAAATATACTTTACATACATGTAATGTTCTACATGTACCAGAAAATTCCACAGTTGGGTTTAAATATGATTAATTTACGCTTGGAGCATTAGGCTAGTTAGCGAATCGCAAGAAGTGAGTAGTCTTGCCCAAATGCGAGACCAAGACGAGTCTTGGTCTTGCACAATAGTCTCGCAACAGTCTTGCAGTTACCTATTAGCCTATTACTATAGAGATATTACTGTAATTTTTAAGATAGGGGTAACCTAATATTAGTAATATCAATTCTTTACATATAGGAACTAAACTTGTCATGTATTATTAACTATTTTGCCTACATTTTTATTCACAAAACCGATATTTATTTATTTTTTTTTATTCGATTTGATTAGATGTTGGTTACACTACATATAATTATATATATATATATATATATATATATATATATATATATATATATATATATATATATATATATATATATATATATATATATATAATGTTATATTATATATAATATAATAATACTTGTTAGCATCCATTTTATGAAAAAGTCAATGCCATATACCATAACTATATTACATATATAAAGTTATATTATATATAATATTATAGAATATATAACTTTTCTGAAAAATATATATGGAATGTTTAATCCAACCTATAATGCTTAAAGTAATAAGGAGTTACGGAACATGAAACCTAAATCTTTTTTGTTTAAATATATATATATAGTTTTCAATGAAATCAGGCAATTCAGGTATACCCTACCGCACAACTCTATATATAATTTTATATATAGGCTCATATATCAAACATATATATTTATGGGTATAAGCTTTGGGCATAAAGAAATAATTAATTTTCCCTTTTGTTAATTAATATAACTCAATTGTTATTAATTGTTCAAAATACTTTAAACCGTATTTAACATTTAATTACTATTTCATATAATTGTTATAAAAAATCTTATTTTACATGTAAACAAGTATTGCAGATTTCTTTTTTTTTTTTTTTTTTTTTTTAAATTGGTTCTAAACAAAAAAAATCTATAGCATGACTAAAATGTAAGTCAAACATTCATACATATAGTATGCGAATTCGTATGGTGTATGTAAATTTATCAAATAAATTCCTCCTGCACAGGGTCACTATGCAAGAGAAAAAAAAACACATTTCAATTAACTATGATAAATAATATAAATAATATTGTTATATGGTTTGAGACATTACTAATAACTATATTATTCCCTTTTTGTGAATTACTTCTAATTTTGAATACATTTCTTGGCATAATTAATATCATATATATTATTCAATTAGTATACCAAAACTAAAGGAGTTTATTGGTACAGGTTAGGTAAATGATACTGTTGTTATACCGTGAACAAGGTCTATGTTTTCCACGGCATATTTCAGTCAACCAAATCCCAAAAAATATATATCTACCATATTTTTTGATAATTATTGAAATTAAAATCACATAAAATTAAATATTTATGTCAAATACGTATTTAATTACAGTATATGATTTTTTTTTAATGATAAAAAAAATATGTTTTTTCCCAAAAGTATAAGTTATTTTTTTCACATGCAAAGAAATTTCATTAAACATTTTTTATAGGCTTTATAATAACAATACTAGGTATACTTTTAAATAACAATATTTATTATATATAGTAATTTATTTTTTATCCCTACACATCAAATATATATATATATATATATATATATATATATATATATATATATATATATATCATTATTATCATTAGTTAAGGACATTCTTGATTGTCTTTTTGTTCTAATACCTCTAAGACCGCAACCTAATGTGCTCCCTCGTATTTAATTACGTTATCATCTATTGGTAAAACGGTAAACTTTTACCTTAGAGCAGAAATTGCACTTTCCCTTCTTTTCATATTTATGTTGGACCCAGTGATGCTCATTTTTGACGTCTTCCTCCCTGTAACTTCGAATGTCCGCATCTCGAAAGGTCAATCGGCAATGCCACTTCATCTGACTCACGACCAATGGCACGCATTCTCCATGAGCTACGATGTGACAAGCCGAACATTTCTGCTTCGATCCGCGTTTCTAAAAAAAATAAGTAATATTGAAATAATGAATAAATATATAAAAAAACATATAATTTAATTTTTCTTAATACTCATTTGCTGTTAGTTAAAAGAAATTACTTGTTATAATTAATTAAATGTTGCTATTAAGTTGGAGCTTAAACAAGATTTGAGGATCTCGTTGGTGAAGGACTACACAGACATTACCCAAATTAGTTTTACGGTCCCAATTTTTACAGCTCCGTTACAATGAAAAAAATGTACAGTAAAACGATTGACTGAAAACACGAAGTACTGGCCTTTGTGGAATTGTATTATGTGATACTTATCATTGCCTAATAAATACTAGTTGAATTTAACTGTCACCTAGAAGAATTAGACGAATGTCGTAAAATTCATCAGGATCGGGCGGTTGAGATGGGATGAACACATCGCCAGGATGGGCCCTGATGAGGTATCCAGGAAGCTTCTAGACGAGCAGGTCTATGGATCAAGAATAGTTGGCAGACCCAGACTACGGTGGACTGATGGTATGGCTACCAACGCGCGAACTCTCTTAAACCTCCGCAATTGGAAAGAAGCCGCACATGACAAGGAAGACTGGCGGACATGCCGGCGGCCCTGACTCTTCAAGAGTTGTAGTAGTACCATTGAGAAAGGAAGGGAGGCGATTTAGACGCGACTTGACGTGCTGAGCTTGGTCTAAAACCTAAGGAAATTAAAATTCATCTAAGATAAGCCATTTATTATAGTAATTAACTGGAGCGAAATTTCGAAGATGACGTCGTAATGAATTATTGTTATTTACTGAATTAAATTTTTCAGTGGAATAGAGGAGGTGACACTCCTCAAGTACCATTTACTAAGAAGACCCTAAATCAGTTTCTTTCTTTTTTTTAAATTGAATGAGAATTACAAAAAAAAAAACATAAATAATATTTTTTTATTAATGAGACATGAATGGTATTTTTTTTAAATATTTTATTTTTCATTTTGAAAATCTTGGAAGATAGTCGTATATCTTCGTATATCTACCTTGTGCCCCACTTACGAAGGGGGCACTATATCAAGAGCCTATTGGAAACTTAACTAGTTTTTTTTTTGTTTGCTTGGCTCTACAGACCATGACGATCTTTGGCAGTGAGATGTGGTCTCCTTACAGACGTATGTTGCTTGCGAAAGCTCAGATAGGCTAGAGGGGGTCACCCAACCACATGTTGCTACGAACCATGGTCTCCATGTTGCAGTGTCAGGCCACCCGTAGCTTCATAGCCGACCCCTTTGGGGCCAATCTGGCAGTGCCCTTCCCACCGACTCACTCGGGTTCAACGACAGTGATAAATCGGTCTAGATCCATGGATTATGGCTGCTCAAAGGTAGCAGGAGCACGAGGCCCTATATTTCTTTCTTCGAAACAGACCGTCCATGGAGCGAACCTCATGGGGGCTACAAACATCCTGTTTAACCACATCCCGATTCCCGATTTAAGTACACGGGGTGGGGTCATCAGTCATACACCCGGTTGGTGTGAGTTGCCTCCAGTAGACTGACGGGTTCCACATACCAGAGGGAGGAGGAGAGAGACTCGGATCACATGGCTTTCCCTGGTGGACGGTCATCCAAATCGAGTGGTCACCCATCCAAGTAGTAACCATGCTCGACGTTGCTTAACTTTGATTACCTATTGCAAGCGCCTTATCCCGTACGGCTACCCCTGCCACTAATTAAAATATACACACACACATATACATATATCTTTTTTTTAAGCTAAAAGAAAGTTCTTGTTTTGTTTTTTAAATTGTCAATGTGGTCATGGCCGCAACTAAAGTTCAATATTTGTATCGTTCCTTCTTTGCTAGTTTGTTATGTGGTTATTATCTTAAATCCTCTTCTCAGACTTTGTAAACAGTGAGTTTATAAATAATTTAACATCTTTACATTACAATCACCGAGGTGAGTGACTTTTTATTAACAATTAGCAACATTAAATTGTGCTCGATTGCTAGAGATAGCTTACGTGGCAGATAATTTCCCCTCAGCGGGTCTTATCTTTCAAGTTCACGGTCATGGTGTTTCATATTACGTTCAGACACTCTTGAGGTCGTACCTAAGACAGGGTATGTCTATATATTTTCTTTTCTGTTTTTATTTCTTAACTCATTATTTTATTTATTTATTTTTTTTTACTGAGACTCTTTATTTTATTTATTTATAGAAAACGTTTTTTTTAATATTTGTAAATATATTAGTTATCAAGTATTTGTTTTGTAAATTTTCTTATTATTGGTACTTTTTTTTCTCTTCTTTTTTGTTTATATTATTATTTAGAGGTATGGAATCTGATAAGAACATTTCTTATTCACTATTCAGCAATGCCATCGTGTGGTAGATGTAGTCTCCTCTGCATTGGTGCGCAGAATGTACTGCACGGGAGCCTTTCTCGACGTTGAACAGGCGTTTGAAAGAGTCTGGCGTCCGGGACTAATGTAAAAACTCCGTAAATTCCTACCAACTACATACTTCCTCATTATTCGTTGCTACCTTACTGACAGATACTTCAAAGTAAATCATAACAATGCTTATTCATCTCTTTTTACTCAGTTTGCTGGTGTTCTTCAAGGTAGTATCCTAGATCCCATCCTTTACATAGTTTATACAGCTGAGATCCCAAACCAATCCAACACTGTCATCACCACCTATGCCGATGACACGTGTATCCTATCAGTTCATAACTTATCCATCTACTGCATCCCAAACTCTTCAATCACACATCACAAATCTTGAAAAATTATGTCAAAACTGGAAGATTAAAATAAATTCCAATAAATCCCATCAAATTACCTTTACTCTTCGTCGTAAACCTATGACTTCCTCTCCTACAGTATCCTTCAACAATAGCCCACTTATCCCTGGTGAAGAAATCCGATATGTAGGACTCCACCTGAACAAACGACTCACTTGGAACCCAGACTGACCAGACTGAAACGACTTGAAACCGCCCGACGTTTTCGACTACTGCAGCACTTACTAGACAAACGCTCTAAACTTCCAATTATTTACAAAAGACTCAAATATATTACTATAATAAGGCCTATTTGGACTTATCCGAACATAACGGAGAGAAGAGAGTCAAGAGTCAACCAGTAACCAGTGTACATCGCTGGTGACGTCACAACAGCTCTTAACGGTTTATAACGGGTTTTAACGGTTTTCAACGGTTTTCCGTATTGTATGTTTGTTTGTTTACTCCTCGTCCTTGTGTACTCCTGCATTATGTGCGGTTATTAGCGAGTGATTCGAGTGATAAACAGTGATTCGTTAACGCGAGTTAAAACAGTATTTCCCTAACGCAAGTTAGACAGTGTCCTTTTGTAACCGGTTACATTGCATGTAACCGGTGACAGGTAACCAGTGTCGCCGACTCGTATCCATTTCTGATCAGTGACTATTCGGACGAAAATGCCACATTCGGACGAAGCACAAAGAGCGCCTCTACCATTATATGAGGATTCCGATATAGAGGGCGCCACTAGCGGAGAATGGAGTGACGTATTACGTCGCTCCCAGAGGTCGAAGGAGAAGGCCAATAAGAAGCCGCCTGCAATTACAACTTCAAGTCAGTATGCCGTCCTAGCCACTCAACCTACACAAGAAAATACGGAAGAAAATGTAACCACCTCAAAGAAGCCAACAGTTCCGCCTGTAGTGATTAAAAGAAAATACACTATCAAAGAACTGCAAACATTCATGGCCAAGGTCAAAATAAAAAACTACTTAATTCAGTTCACAAGAATATTATTGGAGTCTGCCTCTGATCTACCAAACCTAAGAAAACACTTAGACAACTGTGGCATAGGATTCCATACATACTCCGCAAATTCAGACCGGAAACCACCAAACAAATACATAATAAAACAATTAGACACAACCATTCCACTGACGGATGTTAAAAAGGCGATGCAACATCTTAATATCATCGATTTAAGAAGATTGCAGCGGACAGCAGCTGACGGCATTAAAACCACCCTAACACCGATAGTAGTCACCGTGCCATCGTCAATGTCATTAAAAGATATAGCAATGGTGAAGCATGTAAACACGTGTATCTTCCACGTAGAGATATACAAGCACAGGCAAGAGATAACACCACCTCAGTGCTTCAGGTGCCAAAGATTCGGACACACCAAAAATTATTGCGGGCATAAACCAGTTTGTGTAAGATGTAGTGGGGAACATCTTATAGCTCAGTGCCCAAGAACTACAGAGCCCAAATGCATAAACTGCGAAGGAGCCCACGTAGCATCTTACAGAGGATGCCCAGTCAGACGAGAAATAGAGGAGAACGTAACAAAACGAAGACAGTTAAAAACAAAAGCGGAAGAGACTCCAAAGGCGACAGCCACAACCGTCTTAACCAGACCTTGGCATTCAACCAATGATAAAATACACCAGCACACCACCACTCACCGGCAAGCCCCATCACCACAAAACCACGCCCAACCACCACCACCACCAGTTATCAATGAGACACCCAATGAACATACAAACAACTCTACGTCGATCACAATAGACCAATTGATGAGCGTTATTCACTCACTAGCAAACCAAGTTGCAGCCCTAGTACAGATACTCACTATTCAAAACACAAAGCCATGAATAGTTTCTCATTAATCAATTACAATTGCTGTGGCATCAGTACAAAAATTGAAGAGATAGAAGCACTATTGGCCTTAACACAACCTACCGTGGCTGTCCTCACAGATACCAGGCTGCAGGGAAGACCACCACACTTCAACCACCACGGACAATACCCATGACCCGTATGGAGGGGTGATGATTGCGGTGCGCCATGGTATCCAGTGGAAGAAAATGCCGGAGCCCATGACGACTTGCGACAGAAAAATTCGTCATTCGTCATCTTACGGTGCAAATATTGATGAAGCAGCCCACTTACATCACAGGCTACTACAGAAGACCACGCGGGTCCACCAATGAAATGAAACAATTTCTCAATAAATGTGCGGACAGAACAAACCACTGGCTAGTGGGTGATTTCAACGCCAGGCACACCCACTCTTGGTGTCTCCATAGCGACTCCATAGTGATCCCATAGTGATAACCCCAACACAAACGAAGCAGGGAAAATAATCACAAAAACGCCATTCATAGTTATACACCCTGACTCCCACACTTTCCGCCATTTCGGAAGTGGAGCCACCTCCACACTAGATCTTCTCCTCACGCGGCAACCACACAGAATTTCGGAATGCTCTGCCCTGGACTTTCTCTCTTCGGACCATCGACCGGTACAGTACACTGTCCAAGGAAGACCAGAAGAACCCATGAAGAAAAAGTTCAGATATCAGAATGCGGATTGGAAAAAATATAAAAATGAAGTATACCACAGACTACCGAAGATGCCCTCCCTACACACTAAAGAACAAGTAGACAGATATATTGAAGACTTCACAGAAATCGTACTCGAGGCAGCAACACAGTCTATCCCCACCTACTACCCCTCACCACCACACCTCCGACTACCTCCGCCGCACATCCTCACACTAATTGAAAACCGGCACACACTGAAAAATAGATGGTACCGCACAAGAGACCCAAACATCAAAACAGCTCTCAACGCCCTCACCACCCAAATCAGAAACCTCTTACGGCAATGGAAGACAGCCATGTGGCACGACCAACTGCATGCAACTCACGGTGACGTTAACAAGTTTTGGAAACTCACCAAAAGTTCAACGACAAAGTCATCGACCATCAGACGGGGACAAAATTCTGTCACCAGCACAACAAGCAAAACGGCTCGCGGAATATTATAAACATGATATAATCGCCCGGACTCTTGTTGCCGAGACCCCACAAATGACAAAAGAACATAACTACATGTTTGCAAGCCTCAAACAGATAAAAACCATTCTGAGAAGAACAAACGGAAATCGTGCCCCTGGCCACGACGGAGTCCAGACAATTCTCCTAAAACAGTTACCCAAAAAAGCCTGAGCACATCTTACAAATCTGTTCAATTCTTGCTTACGAATGAGATATTTCCCGGAGAAATGGAAACATGCAATACTGTTTCCATTGTTAAAACCAGCCAAGAAAGAGGATAAAGAATAACACTACAGACCAATCAGCCTTATACCACATCTCACAAAGGTCTATGAAAAAATTATCCTTAATTATCTGAAAGACTTTTGTGAAGAAAACGCGATAATTCCCTACGAACAAACTGGCTTTCAGGCACACCTCAGTACTGAACATCATCTCATGAAACTCCAATCTGAGTAATGTAGAGACCTCAACAAGAATACAGCGACTGCTATGATCTCCATAGATTGCACGAAGGCTTTCGACTCCGTCTCCCACGGCATGTTATGTCGCCAACTCGCGGATCTCGGGTGCCCCGAGAAACTCTATGGCATCATAGTCTCGTTTCTAAATAATCGCAGCCTAGTTGTAAGAGTTCGTAACAACCTATCCAGTACAATCCACCTGACATGCGGAGTACCACAAGGGGCTGTCCTATACCCTGTGTTTTTCTCCATCTACACAGCAGAGATAGTAGGCCACAACTACAAAAAAGCGACAATCGCTGCCTATGCGGACGATATTGCTATTTATAGTAGCAGCATAAGCCCCAAACAAGCTCAATTAAACACCGAAGCTACATGCCAGGAAATTGTTCGAAAACTCTCACATCTGAACATCAATGTAAATCCAGAAAAGACAGACTGCGTGGTGTTTGCCTTTCAGAAAGGAAAGAAATCAAAACTTCTACGCACTTTCACCGTAGCCGAAACAATAATGACCACATCAAACTCCATCTTATACCTAGGTATAAAACTTGACCGCCATCTGATCTTCTCAGCTCACTGTTACTCAAAGGCCCGCAGAGTCCGAAGAAAATCCTACAGGCTGCATCATTTATTATCATCACCACTTCTTTCACTCCACCTAAAAATTAAAATATACAAATCCATACTTAGACCAGCCCTACTATATGGAGCCCCACTCTTCACCCATCTCAGAGAAGGAACACAACGACATCTACAACAATTTCAAAATTCAATATTTAGGAAAATAGTCCGTTCCACATCACTGAAGAAAATGAAGATGGAAAAACTACACGAATTCTTTGAACTTCTCACAGTTACAGAGTTCATCAGACGTAGGCACATCAAATTCTTCGACTCACTTCAACTGACTACCAACCTCCTATTCAAGACATTAACCCCAGCACCAGCCCCTGTTAGATGGCAGCAAGCGGTGATAGAAATAGATTGGTTTTAAGAAATAGATTTAGTTAGTAATATTAAGTAAAAACCAAATCAAAAATTTAAAGCACGCCCCAGTGCTCAGCAATAACATTAAAAATAAAATAAACTAATAAGAATATGAAAATCAAAAACTCCTTAAAATGTAGTCTTACTACAGTAGAAGGAGAAACGTCAGAAAATTAAAAGAGCAAAACTTTCAAATAAGGGGTTTGGAAAAATATAATATATTTGGACTTACGTGATCGAATTTCGGGGCTCTACTGAACCATCAAATTCTTCTCGTATCCAATCCCTACAATCCAAATTCCTTTGTAAAATCCTCAATGCTCCCTACTTTGTCACAAATAAAATCATCCATAACGACCTTAATGTGCCATATGTTTCCGACTTAGCTCAATCCAGATACCTATCCTTCCATAACAAACTTCTGAACCATCCGAACCCTCTTGTTTCCAACTTTTCTTCTTCTTCTATTCCTGATAACCCTCCGAGGCGTCAGCAAAGAAGATGGCCTATTTCTATATTTCTAATATAGAAATGTAATTGGAGTGCTACCAATGGGTAGTTTCTCTTCATGTTGTACATATCATGTTACTTGTTTCATATTTACTTATTGTATTTATCATTTAATACAGTTGTAAATTTCAATAATAATAAAAAAAAATTGTCAATTTGTTTTGAAAATCTTCAAAAATATATCCAATATATCCTCACATATTTATTTTATTTGTTCGTTATTTATTTATTTATTTTTATTTTATTTTTTTGTGAAGGATCCTCTCAACTATATCTTCCCCTGATCCCACTTACTACGGGGCCCTACATTTTAAAATTTATTTTCTTATTTCTCACAGCTCCTTACTTTGTCACAAACAAAATCATCCACAACGACCTTAATGTTCCTTATGTTTCTGACCTGGCCCAATCCAGATACCTATCCTTCCATAGCAAACTTCAGAACCTTACCTCCTAATTCTCTCGTTTCTAACCTTGCTTCCTTCTCGATCCCTGACCACCCTCCGAGGCGTCTGAAAAGAAGATGGCCTCGAGATCTCCTTTTGTAAATACATTGTTAGAGTGCTACCAGTGGGTAGCTTCTCAACAAGTGATTTCATGTTGTTATATTCTTTTGTTCACATTTACTGAATGTATTTTTACTTGTAATACAGTTGTAAATATCGTCAATAAAAAAAATAAAAAAAAAAAATTTCTTATTTTGTAAGGAACCTCAAAAATACAACCACTGCTGTCCACAAATGGTTTCAGATATTTCATTGCAAATAAGACTTACTATGATGAAGCTCTCCAAAACGTTTCAGAATGATACTAATAAGACTTAATTTTGTAGCATCATTTAACAATCGGAAAAATTTTCATAGAACTTCTATAGTAGTAAACGTTAATCAATCATATGGTAGGGATCATGTTGGCTGATAGCGCCGGGACTTGTATTCCAGAATATCTGGTACTGAACGACGTGAGTTCGATTCCCATCTAAAACGGTTAACATTTATAAATTAATCCTAACAATAACGCTCTGGTTAGTAAAGGATGATATGTTGGTCGAGGTCAAAAGTTGGAAAAAAGCAACTGAACACCACCAGACCAGTTTCCTTTACGATTACCTATTCCAATATTTCAGAGCTATGTAAATTAAAGGGTATGAAAACACATTTGCGACCAAATAATTATAAATAAAGAATCCAATAGTTAAAATAAACTCTTAAGTAATAGAAAATAAACTCACAACACAGTGTTCATCTGGTACGTAGCATTCCATTGCATTGGAAACTGAAGACCATAAATGTCCACCTGGCTCTGCATTTTCTGACCAATCAGGGGTCGCTCCAGTCCCCCTCTTTCTGAAATGAATTACTCATGAAAGAATCTTGTATTCAGTGAGTGGATTGAGGATTTGTTTTGTTGGAGGATGAGGATGTAGAAGAGGTACAGAGAGTTGGTTTGGTATAGGTGAAATCATAGAAGATAGAGCTGTATTGTCTCCACATAGAGTTGGGACACATGAGACAACAGATAAATTATATACTTAATTACGAAAGTATATTCGAGATATCACTTCAATTAAAATTTATTATATATATTTTTTTTTAAAACAGTACTAGCTTTACCCGGTTTAGCTTTACGCGCTGCTGTGGCTTAGTCTGGCAAAATGGAAAAGAAAGAAAATATGAAGCATATATGAGTGGATTAATACCAAAGGACATCTGTCATTTTAAAAAGTTGAGAAACAAATTTGTCTGTAAAATTGTTTCAATTTAAACTAATTCTAATGATTTTTTTTTGTTTGTTTTATGATTCAACTTGAACATTCTTAATAATCAGATTGAATACGCCATCATTCTTAATCATCAGAAACATTCTGAATTGAACTTACAAAACTAAAATTGACTTTATCTCTGCTTTCTGAAGATTACAGAGATGCGTCTTTGATATGAAGCCACTCATATATTTTCATATTTAATTTTATTATTATTTTTTGTTTATATTTAATGTATTGTTTAATGTTCATCTTTGTGTTGATCATTTTATGACAAATAAAAAGGTAAATGTCTGTTTGTTCAAACTCTTAAATCTCGGAAAGTTCTTCAACCATTTCCTTGAAAAACGTTGCATTTAAATACACGCGTGGTTTAATATATCTACTATAATAAAATATAAGGTGAAAATATTCATATTTATTAAAAACGCACCATCATAAGATTTAAAAGCAACACATACGGTTCAAAATATTTTGCGATACTAATTCAATGTTAAAGATTTTCAAATATCAATCGTGGCAATGAATTGAAATTGCGCTATACCATTTATCATAGCATTCATTTCGTGTGCAATAGAGCTGCCTTCCACCTTCCTGCAAATATTTCGCATACGCCTCCTAAGATAGTTAATTACTTGCTTCTTTTTAGTAACAACTTGATTAAATATAGAGTTGGAAAAATTGTAGTGGAAAAATAAATCTTATTCATGAAAGAAACCCTACGTCAAACGACACAACCTTATTCCAACTAATGTTACAGAAAATAATTTATTGAAAAAAAATTTAACTGAAATCAATAAAAAAACTGTTTTCAAAAAGCAACATAAACGGTAATAATTATTACTCAAGAGTTAAATATTTTTAAATAATAGCAAATAAAATATTTGAAATGTATCATATTACTTCCAGAATACATTGGGAGGAAAATAAAAATGAATATAAAAAGCGTATAATAATATTGATTATATATAATATAATAATATAATAGCATTGACCTACATAAGGAGAATCATCACTTCTTCAAATGATAATTTCAATTACAAGAAAAAGAAGACGAAACAAATTCTAAATGTCTAACGGAGATGCTTATAAATATAATAATTTCGTCGACTTAAGCAAAAAAAGAAAAAAAAATCCTCAGCTATGTCCATCACTGATGCGTTTACCCTACAATGTACTTTATTTTATCTTCATTTACTCGTGTGCAAATTTGTTCTGCTTCTCTTATCACAGTTTTTCCAGTCCATGTATTTCCTCTTGATTGTAAAATGGGTAATAGATAATTATAATTGATTAAGTATATAATCTTATACAATAGATTTTCAGTTTTACAACTTATTACATATACTTAAATTTATTTATTCCTGAAGAAGTTAACAATAATAATAGCATTTGTTCTTACCATAATGGCTTTAGTGTACATTAATTCAAAAGGCCGGACATGCCATAAAACATTTCATTATTCAGAGATCTTGCCTAAATTAAAAGTTTCCCAGGATATTTACCGTTTCTATACCTTTTCCGACCACAACATGCATAAACGTTCGTATTAGCGCTTTATTTTTAGAAAAGATATTCATGAGAACCTCTGCTAGTGTAATTTCATAAAGTTTTCCAAATTGATTGCTATTTATGGTTTCTGCTATGTTGCTATGATACACGTTACGTCTATATAACATATGACGCAGTGTGATGTGTTTATAGCCTTACTGAATAACGGTGTATCATCTAACGCAATTTCTTTTCGAATGGTACAGGTACATACCGAAATAAGCTAATTCAAACAATCAACCTCTTCAGTTTAATATGTACATTGTTGATATCTGGGAAAGAAAACACAGTAAATCTAACTGTTTGAGAAATATGCCATAAAATGCCATTTTCTAGCCTCATCCTTGCTCATATTTATTTGAGGTAAAATATTGCATTATTATCCAAAAAATATTTTATATGAGATGTCTAAAAAATTTCTAGTTATTTTTTTTTTTTAAACTGCTATACTAAATAAAAAATTAAAAAGAGATTGAAATACATTTTTTCCTGCATGTCAGTTATATGTTCAGTTTATTATTTTTACTCACCAACTATTTTTATTTACCTATGTATGAAATATGTAGTAAGGGAAAGTATTACGATCGTGAAAAGTTTTGACGGCGAAAAATGTGTCAAGATCAAAAACGTCTAAATAACTAAGATTTCAAAAAAGGTTTATGTGTATATAAAAACTATAGTTCCAGAAAAAAAAAAAGTACAACACTGAAATTACGTATTTAAGTTATGTATATGTCTGGGTTGCAACTTATTTGCAGCTTACAGCAACTTTTTTGTTAAAACTGACATACGAAGTTTTGATTTTATACATTTTTACAATTTTCTCAAAAATATTTCAAACACTTTTTACTAAACTCGTTATTATGATGTAAAATTAAGTAGTATTTAGTATCAGTTAATTCTCATACACATTTAAATAGTCTGGCGGGACTAAAATGAACGATTTTCAAAATTTCTTCCTCTGAAGTGCCATCAATTTTGTTTAAAAACAAACAAACAAATAAAAATCTCTCATTGTTAGTATATAGATAGAAAATAAACTTTATTCTGAGACGTGGTCCCTTATGAATAACAATTGTGAACAAAAAAGTAAAAACCACATCTGGTCAATTATATTAATCAATATTAAAGAATATATACAGTATTCAGTGAGTATTTTAAGTATTTAAAAAAAAATAAAAAGTAACACCATTTTGAAGAAAAAAAAAACACGTTATTTAAATGAAAAGAAAAACAGAAATCAGGTAAATTAAAAAATAATATAAGCATGGGTTGATTGTTAAAAACTCGAACAATTTCAACAACCATTCACCTCAGGCAAAATTTGTTTCACAATATTTATTTAATTGCAAAACGTCATTTTGGGATGTGAGAAGGAATTGGTAGAGATGAATGAGGACAGGGAATATATATATATATATATATATATATATATATATATTATATATATATATATATATATATATATATATATATATACGAAATTAAAAAATATGAAAGAACTTAATGGGTGATAAATATTCAGGACGCAGTCATTATAAAGTGTTTATTAGTGCTGACGTTTCAACCCAAACATGTCATCATTAGGACGTTGTTCGAGCACAAAAGGTATTCTAGTATTACATTGGCATTGTCCAACTGCAGAGTTGCGTTATAATCTCCATTACATTTTAAGAAAAAGTAGAAACTAATTTTAACATTAATGAACCAACAAATATTAAAACGAATTAGCAAAATTAATTAAAAATAAAGAGGGCAAAAAATTGTTTCTAAGTAAAGTTTCTACTGATAAGGGAGTAGGATAGCTCAGTGGCAGGATTCTGAGCTTTCAACGCTCATGGTCCCAGGTTCAAATCCCGGCTTACTTAATTAATTACTTGAATACCTTCAATGCTCGAAACACATCCTGATGATGACCCACATGTTTGGGTTGAAACGTCGACACTAATAAAAACTTTATAACGACTTGAATATCTGTCACCCATGATATATAGAACAGTCGACACTTCCTTCAATAATTCAGACATGATTTAATAGTTAACTGAAGGGAAAAGTATTTTCGCAGGTTGAACACAAATTTTCGGAAATGATAGTGGTAATGATGACATATAATATACCGTTGGGAAGGTGAAAGTTTACAAAAATGAATATATCTCTCAAATATCTTTCAATATCTCAAATATAAGGCCGAAGAAGAAAATGGAGAGGGACGTAAAGATAATGGCTTTCAATTTTAGTAGTTGATAATATCTATTTTTATATTATTGGGTGCGCAGGCGAATCTACGGAGAGAGAGCTTTCGGGCTGATGCTCTCCTCCCTAAAGTGGAAAAATATAATCACGTCTTGTTAGAAAAATATTTAAAAAATATCTCTAAAAATAATATTATTCGTGAAATTACATTTACAGAACTTCAAGAACAACCATTTCATATAGTTGGTTTCTTTCTATTTCTTCCAAAGTAATTAACGTTATATATACAAAAAAAAATTTCTGGTTGAAGCCCCTCCCAAAATTAAATCCTGTGATTGAATGGGAACATTAAAGTGATATTATTAAGAATTATTAGCTTTTAAAAAAAATCAATTTCCACCGAAAGTTTCGTGGTAAGAGAAAGATGTGTGGTACTTTCAAGGTAATTTCTATGGTACTCTTAATTTGCTATAACTAAATTTTTAAAAAATATCTTACAAAATTAATTTTTTTTTTAAATTATAATTATTTTTCATCATAAAAATTATATTTATTGTTTTCTCTCATAAATTAATTCCACTTTCTAGGGTACTCATAATTTGCTAAAATTTAAAAAATTTAAATTTAAAAAAAAATTAAAATAGAGGTTTCCTTACCCCGACCTATCTCTCCAACACCACATCTCATTTTATTTCTGTCTCAATGTCAGTCTGTAATATCTTCGTAAACTTTCTTAAATATCGGATGGATAAGAAAGCATAGACTGATTTATACAGAGATAAGAATTAATTAATTTTTTTTAAAACAAAGTTACTTTGGTACTTATTTCAAATTATGTTTTATAGAAAGATGAACAATATTTCTACATATCACTAACAAAAATGGGACTTGACTTACTTTTGAGAATCAGGCATGGTGAGCTGTAGTGAGTAGAAGCCTTACTGTCACATACCCCTTATTAGATAACCAATATTAAATTAGAAAGACTCTTTTTAAATCCTCTTAAGGTTTTTACTAAGATGTTTTTTGTTTTTATCGTTCATAATTCATTATTATAGCGCTCTACGGATCGTTAAGGAATATGCATTTGTTAAAGAAAAGAATATTTCAATTACACAATAAAATATAAATGAAAAAAAATCTTGGGAACATGTATAAATTAGAAGAAAACGTCAACTGTTAGCACCTGTGTACATTTTTTACAAGAATAAGCTCCTGTCACTGTTTTCTTTTCAGACAATTTCAGAATTAGATTACAGATTGTGTGTGAAAGTGAAGTGTAGTTTCCATGTAGAGATTATTTTAGTAAGGAAAGTGATGATAAATAATAAATAAAATTATGTCAGGACGATCATCATAAATTAAGGCTATAATATTAGATTTTTTGTTTGTTTTGTTTTTATAAATTTTACAAAATAAAACAATCACTATCACAATCATTGAGATGCTGCATGACACAACTCATGAAAAAATAAAAATTTTAATCATAGTGGATTAATTATTGGCTATCGTAGATATATTGAAGATAAGTTTATTGGGGTGTTCAGACAAGATTTACTAAAGTAAAAATAAATAAATTATATATATTTTTATCTTTACCGACGTTTCGGCCCAAAGTTCAGGCCTTCATCAGGGCTAACAAAAGACAAAAAACCTACATATGATTACAATAATTAATAGATAATACAATAATTAATAATGCAATAATAATTACGAAAAGACCTACATATGATAACTTTTACTGTTTAACAGTGTCTCATATTAATGTTATCTTGTCTTTTCTTAGCCCTGATTTTAAAGCATTCGAATCCGGACTCTTGAGCATTAGAAGTCAGCGCCCTCCTACCTCATTCCCTGTATCTACATATATATATATATATATATATATATATATATATATATATATATATATATATATATATATATATATATATATATATATATATATATATATAGTTAAGCGTCGGTGAACTCAAACAATAAAAAAAAAGGAAAAGGTTTGAGATAGAACACTCACGGCTTCAGAATCAGTACTGCTTTATTCGTAAAATAATCCTTCTTATATACATTCGGCATGTTGTTTATATTCTAGGATGGTATTAAGGCTGATATCGTCAGACTCCGGTCTTTATCTCCCTCCCCCCCCACCAGTTTACGAATAGGATTTCGGAAACTCTCAAGTAATCCTAGAGCGGATCGAACAGTTTATTAGCCTTACTACCTCACATTTGTCCTTACCAATATAAACTATAAAGTCCCTCTCTCTCCGACTGGATAAAAAATAAAAAACACATGTTTACATAATGATAATAACAAAGAAACGAAAACTCTTATCAGCTAAAACAAAATGATTTAAAATTCCTCTACTATACAATGAAATACACGCCAAGAACAGAAAACAACATGCAATAGTCATATATTACATATTAACCTACGTTTAACAAAAATGGCAAACATACTTATGTTATTTACATAGGTGAGGGTACTACGGATCAGTTTGTTTTTCCTGGATCTACCATCGGAGGTTTCAACTGTTCGATGTGAACAGTTCGTCTCGTCGGTCGTTCATTTTAAGGTTTCTTGGTGTGTTGAAGTGGCAGACAATCTCTAACCGTTTCATCTCTTCCCTAATCGCGGTATTATCAAACTCTCTACCACCCCGTAAAACTGCACCCACGTCTGTAGGGCCTCAACAACTGCGTTGGCTGATTTACCCAGGACCTGATGTGCCATAGCTATTTTGCTGAAGATGTCAATTATAGTGACCTACTTGAACCCACTTCACGTAAATGTATCACTTTGGAGGTCTTGTAGCGGTGTATTCCCTGTAGGTGTCTCCTCCTGGATTCCTCGAGGAGGGTGTCTATCGTACTTCGTGCGTATACATACTTCGCACTTCCCTATAATTTTCTGAATGGACTTTTTCATACCCACTGGAAACATTTTCTGCGTAAAGCTTGCAATGTCTCGTTCACGCTTCGGTGGTTGGTTTTTTCCTGGTGGTATGCTAGTGTCGCTGCTTTTTGTAGTTCCTCGTCTTTTATTGTTTCCGTCGAATACTTGCATCGGATAAACGTTCTTTCCATGCCTATTCGCTCGGACCTCCACATTCGTTTATTTTTTTTTTTCCATTTTGTGTTGTTGCCAATATAGAGATGGCGAGTTTTTCCTGTTTCCGATGCGTCATTTAAGGCCCTACAGATCTGCTCTTCGCTTACCCCAAGTTGCGACCAGATGACGTGAACCTTAATTTTCCAAATCTATTTTCATGGTTCCCGCGGTTCTCGTCTTCCCTGATTACCTGGCGGTGCTTGTTGTTAATGATTTCGTATATTTCTTCTATCTCCGCTGACCTTTTATCTGCTGAGCTCTCTGCTTCCGGGGACTCCTCTTCGCTCTCTGTCCCGACGGTACCGTCTTCCCCTTTGCTTTCGGGTGTCCATTCGCTCAAAAATTGGCGTACATCCCGTGATGGTCCTCCTCTGTCTTCCTGCGCTGCATGGATCATAATGGTAATAGACAGCCAATTTGCCACCACGTTTTCCTTCCCTGGCTTATAAACCACTTCTATATTATATTGGTTAAGGAATTCCTTCTATCGCGCGACCCTAGCTGAGGTTTCTTTCAGTTTTCCTACCCGCTGAAGGGGACTGTGGTCGGTGTGGACCCGAAACTTCCTCCCAAATATATATGGCCTCTCCAATACAGATCGTAAATGCCACACGTTCTCGGTCTCCGTTTTGCTAAAAATCTGCAGGTCATCCATATAAACTTGGCATACCGCGTCATCTATACTCCTCAAAAACTCGTCCCTCAGGCGTTAAAACGTTATGGGGCCATTTTTTCAGTCCAAATGGCATATGGGTAAATTTGAAGTTGCCCCTTTCGAATGTAAACGCCGTTTTGTATTGGCCCTTTAAATGCATTTGTATCTGGTGACATCCCGCTTTGAGATCTAACGTGCTGAATATTACTGTCCCACTCAACCTGTCCAGTATGTCCTCGAATCTGGAAATCGGATACTTCTCGTCCAATGTATTGTCGTTTAGTTTGCGATAGTCTACTACTACCCTGTATTTCTCCTTATTCTCCCCCGGCGTTCCCTTCTTTTTCACTGCCGACAGGGGACTATAACATGGTGAGATACTACGATCCCTTCCTTCTTCAAACTTTCTAACTCTTTCCGAAAATGCTACCTCAACGCCTGCAGTTATCGCCTTTCCTTCACTTACCCTCTCCTGCTTCAGGGGAATCTCATGGACCGTCCTCCCCGTAACTCTTAATACCTTGCTCTCTTTGAAGAAAATATCTTCAAATTCCGCTCGTATCCCTTTTATCCAGTCCTCTACCCTGTTCACCGCTCCTATCCACGCCCATCTATCCCTCACGACCCCTCGTCATCTAAATTTCTTTTTCCCCAGTTTAATGCTCCAGACTCCTTTGCTGTTTTTAACTCTTGCCTCTACCTGCCCCAACAGGTCACAACCTACTATTGCTTGATATTCTCGAGTTATATTTCCTACTATGTGTACCTTTAGCTTACCAACTTTTTCCGCCTACCGCTTAAGCCCGATTGGTGCTTCTCCCTCTACACTACGTGGACTATGCAGAGTGATTACCTGACAGTCACTGGTTAGTAGTAGCCAGTTCTAATATATGGCTGTGAGACCTTGATACTAACCAGGACCCAAGAAAAAAGAGTTGAAAAGATTGTCACAATCCTGACCATTCAGACAATATTTTTTAATCTAAGAAAGTTGTATTAAATAAAATATAAAATTATTACACTATAGGTCTTCGGGTTAAGAATAAATAAATTTGTAACCTATACTTGCAATAATGGAATTTTTTTTTTATTTGTATAAATTTTACATAATAAAATAATTGTTGTCAGTTGATATCATGAGGCTCCGGTCTTTATCTTATATATATCAGTGTGTGTGAAAAGACAACCTCAATGATTGACCAACGAGCAGAAATATACCAGCGTATAACTAGTGCAAACAGAGCTTTATTCTCTCTAGGTATTGAAATCACGAAAAATCTAAAGAAATCTCAAACTAAGGGTGTACAATGCTATGATAAAGTCAGTTCTAATATATAGCTGTGAGACCTCGATACTAACCAGCAACCTAGAAAAAACAGAAAGATTTGAGAGGAAAAACTTCCGCACGATAACAGGAGCGATCTGGGATCATAGCACTAATACATGGAGAAGAAAGACCAATAAAGAACTGATTACAAAAACTAGTCAATCAATATCGTATGATATGAAGGCACGGAGGTTAAGATAGAAGGGGCTCGTACCAATCCATCTGGAAGCCTCTACGTTATTAACACGTTATAACAATTGTTGTTGTTAATTGTTATAACACGTTATAACAACCTCTACGTTATAGCAATTAATGCCTCAATAGAAGGCAAACGAATAGGTGGAAGGCCAAAAAGCAGATGTAGTCTGTGGGCCAGACACACTCCCCTATTGTGCACCCCCCCCCCACATCCATATAGATTGCATATCGTTGTGTTCCTTGTAACTATTTATTAAAAAAAAGCCAATGTTTCCACAAAAAAAAGTGAAAGCACTGCCCCAAAATGGCGTCCAAAGATGGCGGATTGACGACTTTAACTTTAGTTAGTTTTTTGGTCACTGAGAATCAGCACTTAGCTTAATTTCCCCATGGTTGCTCTTTTATTAAAGCCGAATAGTCAGATAATAATAAAACATGACCAATATTAAAAAATAATTGGCTTAGGCAACAAAAAACACCAGTCAAGTCAAAAATTTTAACAAAAAAAATTAAATTTATTATTTTATTTTATTTTTTTATTTAACTTACTTTATTCTGTACGGAGGTCGTTTAAGTAGACATCTAGTGCAAACATGATATAATTATAATAATATAACTTAATTGAAAAATACTTTGCTGAATATCTTGAATTTTTTATTTAACGTTTGCAATTTAACACTTTGTTTTGTATATTTACTGATTCTTAGAGGTAATTTAAATTGCATACACTTTCCAGGAAATGAGACATATCAATACCTGTTTTATAAACTAAAATGATATTTACCTAATCTGAACTACATATAATGAATAGTTGCCGGGTTGTTTAGTAAAATTTATTGTCATGAAATTTCGGAAGTTGGACCATAGCATAAAAAAAATAATAATAATAAGGCTTAGCGAACCCGAAGGTTCGATGCCGACACCACCAATTGCTTGTTACACACCTCCCTCCACCGTTCGCCGTCCAAACCCAGTCCCTTCAGATCGGCTTTAATGCAATCTTCCCACCTTCGCTTCGGTCTGCCCCTCGGACGCTTACCATTCGGCACAGCAAATATTAACCTTTTAGGAATTCTCTCGTTACTAAGCCCAACAACTTTACAAGCCCATTTGATTCGCCGCGATGAAATTACCTCAATTATATTACCCGGATACAGTTAACGCAATTCGGCGTTGTGTAACCGTCTGAACTCTCCGATTAACTCATCCTTCTTCGGTCCGAATATTCTGCGCAATACTTTATTTTCAAAAACCTTAAGACGCTGCTCATCCCTTAATGTAAGCGGCCAAGTTTCGCATCCATAAAGAACTGTAGGCAAGATAATTGTTTTATAGATTCTAATTTTTAAGTTTCGGGACAAGAGGAGCGAACTAAGTAGTTTTGTCACAGAAAAATAACAAGCATTCCCCGCCTTCAGTCTAACCTTAATCTCTTCTTCAATTTCGTTTTTTCTAGTTATCGTAGAACCTAGATACCTAAATTTATCTACCTGTTCAAACATATTACCATCTATATCGATATCACCAGTAGTACCATTTTTGCAGCT